TCCTCCCAAACGAATCGGCAACCGCACCTGCAACCATTGATCACGCATCAACGATCCCCCAAGGATACTTTCAACAACAACTCGTATACGATCATGACAATAATCGAGCAAAGGTTACAAGAACGTTCTAGGTGCAACCCGACACAAGTATTGTACGCGCCCAAACGATGCAGTGAATCGCAGCAAAGCAACGCAACGTGACGTTGGGGTAAGTCCGCCAAACAAGAATACAATCTTTCCAATTAGAGTTGTTTGTTTTGTCGAAACTCCTCGAGAAAGGTATCTGACCCCGTCTCCGGCGCCTTGAGCACGTGCTTATTGCAGAAAGATGTGGAGAATGCGTTTAATGAGATATTGCTAAATCAATTCTTGAGAGGTTGTGTTGAATGGGCGCCATCATCTAATCGATTCGTGGATTATTGTTATGAGGCCCATCCCATCTCATTTATCGAGGCACGGTGGAGCAATCATCCCATGGACAACAAGGTTGCCCCTTGATGGGACCGTTGTTTTGTTTGACGCGTGTTCGATGGGCGGCGGAAGCCGGAGCCAATTGCCGATGACCGTTGCCGGAGCGCCGGATGTCTTGGAGGCTTTCCATCAGGAATTGAAATTAGCCGAGGCATATGGCATACATTTCGACCTGTCAAAGTGTATATTGCATTTGTTGGCGGGCGACGGCTTTAGGGGGGATATTTCGGGATTTCAGGCCGTCGGGGTTCGTGTTGAAGTTGGCCCAGATGTGGTCGATGAATAGAGATTCATCGAAAATTGATTTCGTGATTTCTATATTGATTTTGCTTTTGTATTTATTCGATAAATTATTCCCTTCTCACGATTTATTTCATTTTGATGATCACGAAAATTCTATGATTATTTATATTTCGACGATTCTTATTCTTAATTGGTATTTTTGGGAGTAGAAGGGTTGATTTCTACACATTAATTGAGGATTGGACGCAAATAAGATTGCTAAGGCATTTTCTCTGTTTGGTATTAATATCTCTATAATCATATATAAACCTCGTCATATGAAAAAACGCAATGCATGAGAAATTAATCCCCCATTGAAAATATCGTCCGTGTGTTTCGGCTCGAATTCCGGACGAAACCCCGCCGTAACACGCATAGCCTCGACCATACGTTTACGAATGAGATAAAACAATGCCATCACTAAGAGGCATCCTAGTTAGCCTCTTGAGCTGCTCGCAAAGCGACCACGATATGTCAAGTGCGAGTTGGCCCCATAACACCGCCCCACGAATCTGGCCGAAGCCGGCGCGAATTGCCGAGCGTCCTAAATGAATTGAACCGGTAATAGTTCATTGAATGTGTTTTTGACATCCTTCTGAAGAAGAACGACATCTTCACGATGTCGCTTGCGCCCATTCCATTCTCGACAAGCATGAAGTAAAGTCCCCGCACCATTGGAAAGTCCAACCGCAAGTTGAGAGGGCAACAACCCCTGTCGCACGCTAGTCAAATCCATTCGATACAAGCACTTACCGACCAACTTCCGAGAACCCTGTCCTTAAACGATCGGACGGGTATCGCGGTCAAGCGGCGCAGGACTCTCATCCTTCGCAACCTTACCAACGCCGACCAGAGTACCTCCAGCAAGCCAAGGCCGCAAGGATATCATCTCATAGTATGCTGAATTCAAGAATATTAAGACCCCGCAAGTTCAGAATCAACATCGTAATGTTGACGTCCCATGACCGGGAATTCGACGACTTATAATGGAATTCCTCGATGAAGAAGAATAGTCACAATACAAACCATACTCATTCGTAGGATTATTTAGATGTTGAATGAAGCCCAGATGTCAAGGATATCTCCCCCCAACCAAAAAGATTATGAGAAATAGAAACATGGGTCGGAGATAGAGTAATTGGTGGGGGAACAAGGTCAGCACATGTTTCCCAACCTTCAATTGATAGGTGGTATTTGGGTGGGGTTTCCTTTGCTCCTTGCACATCTTCCATTCAGCCCTGCGCACCATCTTCGATATGTTTTCATGTCAAGACGTGACAGGGAGCAACAGGTTGAAGCACTCCTGGCATGGGACAAAGACCTTGTGAGGTCGGGTTGAATTGGAAGCACTATGAAATGATTGTGAAACTAAGTGCATTCTCGTCTCTTCGCATTTCTGCGAAGGATCACAGTTCTAGGTGAGCTTCGAAATCACTTCCCAAAGTTGGAGCCATAGCCTCGCAGAGCCTGCAGGAGCAGTCAAATCATGGTTTGACACCGGGTCACTTATCAAAAGCAATCGCTGTCACACAACACCCTTCGTCGGTGCTATTGCCTGTGATGTTTGTCCCTCCACGAGACTCGGATTGAGCCGTACGTGCGGGCATCGTAAGGAAGTCCCCCCTCATGCTCTCCCCAAACACTGCGAACCCGGCACTGCCTTGCTTCCCAGGTTCAGCTTCGGCTGCAGGACGCGGTTGGCTAAGGGAGTCGCGTGCCGCTTTCCTAAGACCTGCACAAGGAGCCATCAAAGCAAACAAAAAAGGAAAACTGGGGAGAAGCAACTTCCCGCAGTGCTCTCAAGTGCTTCGAGCGGCCCCGATTCGCGGAGGTCCCCCCACATCTCCAAAGTACCTTAGTTGCGGGACGGCTCCCTTGGCCTCCAACCACGAATCACACAAAGCACAGGTCTTGGGAGATGTTGGGGAGTATTGCCTTTGAACGTTCCTCACCAGAGCCGGAGAGGAAGCCAATGGAAGCGCCGTGTTTGCTACCTACTTCTGCATCTCCTGCGATGCGCAGCTTTCCTCTACCAAAAGTGAACAAGTCCGAGGATTCTCTTTCTCTTTCACAAGTCGTAACAGCTCCAGCTAACAATATTGCTTGGAATCTGCTTTGGGATTCTGCAATGCAACTTGATTGGCTCTGGCATGCTGTGCCATCTCCGTCTTTTCGGGAAGCTAGACTGGACTGCCAGGGCACGCGGGCTGCCGCTGACGCAGCGATCGGTCATGCGTCATCAGATGCAGGTCCTGGTTGCATTCTGCGACCGTGAGGCCAGCAGACAGTCGATGCATGGCTCCGCACGTGAGCAAAATTTCTTATACTTTAGCAGCAGCCTCCGAGAAACATGGGCCGCAAGAAGCATCCTCGTTCATTAATACTGCAAGGACTTGAACGCCATAAATTCTGATCCACTGCAACCCATGCCTGCTAACCAACATACTATCACATACACACGGAACAAACGAGGTAAACGAGGTTTACGAGCTGTGTCTCCGCTACTCTCCGCTCGTATGCAAGCTCAGTCCACGAACCCCCTCGTGAGTTCGAATTCCCCAACCGGTCCATCCAAGTCAAGTTGGGCAACTGATGTTGCCGGAAGTAATCCTGCAGACATTCTGCAGCAAATGTCCGGAAACTTCTAAAGATGTCTCACAGAGTCTCAAACTCTCGGAGCACCAGCTCGGCAGGTCTACCCGGATTCTGCCCGGTCTATCCCCGCCTGCTTTTCTGCATGTGTCCGATAGACCTGATCAACGCAGTCGCCCACGTGGCGGTGCATGTACTGCAGTGAGGTGACATTGAACCTGCACACTGGGTGGGGGGGAGCGCTCACTTGAGCGCCATTCTCGAGTTCCGCTTCGGTCAAGGAATGATTATGCTGCCAGAAGATGGGATTGTTGTTTCATGCAACACGGTCAACCGTGTCCTGAAAGGACATGCGTGCAGGGCTGATTCTGTACATTGCCTCCCGACGGATCGACACATGCCATGCTTTGTAGAGCAGATCCGCCTGTTGTCATAGGCTCGCCGCCAGTCGTCTAGACTATCTCTGTCCTGCGAGGTCTCGAGCGGTGCAAGCACGGACAGACGTGCCCCTAAAGCAAAACACACCGCAATGGCGAGACCATGCCTGGCTCTGTACATGCGGCGTGACTGATCGATACCATTTGCTGGCTGTGTTTCGGCCTGAGGCAGTGTGAGACGACATCGACAATACTCTGGAAATGGTCCACCATTCTCTGCGCGCTATGCACAACTCTGCATGACTGTCCAAGTGAAGCCCTCTTGCACACCAGCCGTCAGGAGAGGTCCCCCGACATAACATTTAACACGGACCTTCGCTGGCCGACCGCCGCTGCTGCATGTCCATATCCTGGAAGCTCCAACAGCACTTGCGTAAGGGCATGTAGGTGCAGCAGGTGCACCTGCGTGTCAGAACTTTGTCCAACATCATCATGATGCTGCAGAAATGCCAGCGTCCAAACCTCTGAACCTAAAAAACATCATCACCGTTTACTCATCCACTGCTGAAAAGCTCAACCCCGCATGCCTGGAGAAAAAGAGAGGCACTGGCCTCCGAAGCCACGCCGTGGGTCCAAGCTGCAAGATCTTTAACAAAAGCGACGGCGGCCGGAAGCGAAACGAGCATCGTGTGCTTCACAGTGGTTGGCATACTCTTTCCGGATCAGACCCCATTACGCAGGATACACTCGTGCACTGTGCTCACCGTGAGCTCAAGACATGAGCAACTTCCTACTCAGTCAAAGCTGCTGGTGGAAGCTTTTTGGTTGCCATAGCTGACGTGAAAAATTCGGCGGCCTCTGCCAAACATCTTGGCAAGGAAACCCTTCATCGACCAGGACAGCCAGGACATGCCCAGACATTTGCTGAGCCAGTGCAAATTTGCCATTTGTCATTTTTGGCCATCCTTAGCCTTAGCACATGTAGCAGCCAATGTCCTGGTTTGAGGCACTGTGCCGGACAAGAAATGGCATGGCCTGTCTGTTCGCGATCGAACGCAGACGAGGCATGGACACGCATCCCACCGTCCAAGAAAGACTTGAAATCCGTTCTAGGACTGCGTAGTGGGCTCCAAGCCTGAGCAAGAACTGCAGCCGCCTGTCCTAGCTAAGACATTGTCTTACAAGCTGTTTCCTACTGTTTCAATGTGTTTCAACGCTGTCTCCAGACAAAGCTGTTCATGAAATCCTGCTAGGCTTCGCAGCCATCAGCAGCATTTTGTGAAACAGACATCACCCACACACTTCAGGTCGGGGGTTGAGACGCTTACTGCCTCTCTCCAGCTTCGACCACCTCCATCTTGTGCCGGAGCCAAGAAAACACCTCTTAAACAGGCAGAACATACTGTGTGCCTGCCATAGTTTTGCAAGTAAGTGGACACGGAGCCGACGCCCAAGGCCCAATGATCCCAATGGCCCAAATGGCCCAAGGAGGTCTGGCCTCCTCCTGCAGGCGGTCGCGCAGGATCTCTCGGTGTGCATCCTGGCAGCTCAGCACAGCGCTTAAGGCTTTAAGGCAGCAGCCACAAGCCCCTGCGCATCCTGCAGAGGACCATGTTGCCACTCATGTCCCATCTAGGGAGCTCGTGCCGCACATCTTCAGCCGTGTGCTTTTTGCGGTTCGCCCAGGAGTGCGAGATGTTGTGGACAGGGGGCACTGCAAGCTCCACAGCTACACCTGTGGCACTAGAAAAACAGAGTTCGCCCGCGATGCAAGATGTTGAACACCCGAACAGCAGGGTAACATCAGCAGAAGCAGACGTGGTGACGAGCACAGGTGGTGAACACAGCGTCTCCTGGTATTCGCGTGGTGGATCTTTGCCAACTTGCGCGATGGTCTCTCCCTCATCAGGTTCTCCCAACCTCATCTACAATTGCTCGTTTCAGGCCGCATGCAATAAGACCAGCATGTCAGATGCATTACCAGGTTGGAGGGCCCTGCAGACAGTCTCAGGCCACCGCTTGGCCCATGTTTTCCGCTCGACGTCGTCCATGTCGATGTTCTGCAAGATCCCCTGGATCGACTACTGAAGGCAGCACTAAGCTTCGAAATATCGCGCAGTGACGCTACAGTCGCGATTCCGGAAAGGCTATGCGCGATTACAGGAACAGGAGCAGTGTGTCTTCAACGATGCTGAAGTCACTTCAGACTTAAAGCCTATCAGAACCTCCTTTTCTGCCAGGAAGTGGATGGCGACGGCCAGCTCCTGGCTACCCGAGGCTTCAGGTAGGTCGACGGATGTCATTGAGGGCAACGAAGCAAACTTACAGGCATGCTGAGTATGTTTTATGTTTGCCCAGAGCGGGGCGGGATGATGCGGGCGTCGACATTGGTCGAGGACCGTCATCAGCCCGCCACCTCTCTTCTGAGGAGTCGTATTCCCAGTCTTCTACTTGCTGCAGGCACGCTTTCATAGATGAGCTCGTGGTCTTCCATGGTCAGCACACAACTCGCCCTATTTACCCTCCTGGCATTGAAAGACTTGTGACCTGCTCTTGGAACTTTCGAAAGCATTGCTATCACTTGGGCACAGGAGTGTACGCATGCGCACACAAACACAAACACAAACACAAACACGCACGCCTGCCGCCCACCCGCCCGCACGCGCCCGCACGCGCCCGCACGCGCACGCACGCACGCGCGCGCGCGCACACACACACACACACACACTTTGGGGGGGGAAGTTGAGTTCTGAAACCAAAAACCAAACCAAAATCCCGCACTTGCGTGTCCAGCCCCCAAGCACTGGATGCACCTCGTCTTCAGTTGCTTCTTGGGATCCCAGATTGGCCCAGTGGCACTTCACCTGGTTGCGACAAAACTGCCTTTCGGTTGAGCGTGAACCTACTAGTAACCTTTTGGCACTGACAGAGCCCCCCCCTGAAACTCCAGCTTTGTAGCGATCGGTGCGATGTTGACATGCCGGCCTTCAAGGTCTGGAGCAGGTGTGACCGCAGCTGCGAGTCTACAACGTCGTTGGACTGGCTCAGGAGTTCAGCAGCTTAACGCGGAAGAAGGGAACCTGAAATTAGCACAGCCAGTTCATACAGTCCGCGCCTGCGTCTGGGCAACCTGTCGAACCTAACGCAAGGAACTTGATGGTTTAGGATTTAGGCTTTAGGCCTTAGGGCTTACGGCTTAGGGGTTAGGGCACAGAGCTACATCGTGACCTGGTGCAAGAACTCACAAGAAACACTTGGATACACATCGAATGCTGAACATACCCTCGCATCCTCTTGAGTCAGGGAGCCTCCCGCCCGATCTCAGCACGGAGGTCGGCCAAGCAGAAGTTCTGGCAGAAACTTACCAATGTGCCAACGTGCCAACGAGCCTACCGTCCTTCTCTCGGTGTGATGTTGAGGATGCTTCGAGATCCGAGAATCCTCTTCTGACTACACAAGACCCAAAGTGTTGTCAAGCAGTTAAGGGACATCAAGGGTCTGCGGAATGCCCTGCCGAAAGAGAGATTCTCTGCTGAGTATGTTCCCCGCATTCCCCGCATGGCATTGGGAACATGCGCGCCTCCGCAATGCCTTCCTCCTCCTCGGGAATCCCTTCTGCGGTGCCTGCCTGACGTAGAACAGAGCTAGGATTATGGTGGTTTGTGAAGTGGACGCATTTGCATGATTCCTCTGGCACCAGGAAACATTTGGAAATGAACCTGCCCGCCTGCTTGAACTGCTCTTCGCGCTTGATCTCCTTCGCAAAGTCGTCGTCCAACTCTGGAAGCAACTGCTCCTCATCACGGGGCCACAACGAAAGCAACGAAAGGTTGAGACGGAGCACAAACTGTGAGGGCGATGTCTTTGGAGAGGGACATCACAGGTCCTTGATCTCTTGGCATGTGACGGCACAGATGATCTGCTTCCTCGTTCTGTCGAGACACTGCACAAGGCTGCAGTCGTGCCGAAAGTTTCTCTAGGTAATCATCACTGGGCGGCCCTGTGTCTGCTGTGGCGTGAGGCCGCGGCCCTCCCATACCTCCGGCACGCTGGCCGAGAGTCACCTGTTGAAGGATTTCGGATCGATGGCTGTGCCGCAGCAGTAGCTCTGGAAGTAACGCATGCATGTTGTAACTTTCCGGCTAATCATCCACAACACCCACTTGACAATCCTGCCCAGCTTGATGGCAACAGTTGTGACAACACAAGCAACGGGCTCCAAATTCCGAAATACCCAAACATGCCACAAATCTCCCACCTGCACATCGCGGGTTTCGCTCACAGCAATGCCCTCGAGACTCTGCTCCACCTGAGGAAGGTGGCTTTGTGGAGCCTTCCTGCAGTCAATCGGTCAAACTCATGCTGGTGAAACAACAACGGATGCCTATTCACCCGCCATCACCCGGCTGGTTCGTGGGATGCATTGCTGTACGACTGGAAGTGCCGCTGCACTTTTGGTAACTCGTGCCGACACTGCGAGGCACAGCCGTGATTGCCCCACATCCGCAATACGCACTTACATGACAAGCCTACAGCTGCATGCTGAATGAACACCAGTGGAATCTGCAGGAAACCACAGGAGCATGCACTTCTCTGGCAGCGTGCCTCGGCAGAGAACGTGCTGGCTCCCAGCTCCAGTTCTAGACCCTTGGCCTCAGTGCGAAGCGCACTGTGAGCAACATTCTTTCAATCAACTGGGAATGGACATGTTACTTTGTTGAAAGCAAGACGAGCCCTGTCTGCAAACACCAAGTAGAGCGGCAACGTCGACATTTGACAGTCCCGTGCCAGCCGGACCATATGAACTCTCCAGGTGACACAACGGGTCACATCTGCGCGTGGAATCCGAATGAGATCCGAGCTGAACCCACATCCATTTCCTCGCCCCGCGAGCCATCCTGGATCGCCGCAAGGTTCACAAGTGACTGTGCAAATCCCAAAAGACTCCAAAGTACGCACGCAACTGTGAGCAACATTGCGCAGTTTTTCACTGGCTTGACTACGGCCCTCCTCTGGCTGCGTATGATGATGGCTGGAGTGCGGAATTCTAGCTGCGAGAGCTGCAGAAAGTGCTGTGGCCTCATTCATCTCGTAGCCCTGCATATCAACAGAAATGACCTGAGAAAACAAGATTCGATCCGAGAGAAGGCTCTGGATTTGGATTTGCCAATCACAATATGCAACACGAGCATCCGGCATCACCACGAGCGGCTGTGCGGCCTCCCGAAACCAATGTCAATGTGGCAAAACCAATGTCAATGTGGCAAGCCCTCCTAGAGACACTTCAGCATGTTTCAATGTTGCGTCCACTTCGGGTAACTTTCAGGTTAAGGCTCACTAAGTTTGAATTCTCGGATCTGAAACACCAGGAAGTACCTCAAGCTACAACTAGCCAAAGAATCGGCGGACGTTGCCTTTTCTTATTTGCACACCGCAAAGCTTGTTTTGCCAAAACCAAAAAGGAAGGGGCCTTCCACAGGCTGAAGCACCCTCTTTGTCCGCTGCAGGTGCTGCAGAGTCTCGTCAACAAGACTCTCCTGATTGTCATCTCTCTAGGTGCTGCCACGGACGGATGGCAGATGACACAGCAGTTTGCAGTCCTCCTCTTCTGTCAAAATATCTGGCATCTCCACAACTGGATTTGCGTAACGGCCAAGTACTTCGACCTTCATGAAGTATGAGCAAGAGAACAAATACCACAACGTGCTTCTGCATCTTTTTGATGTGCCCGAACGTTGCTGAAAACCCTTTGCCTGCGGCTCCAGGACAGAGGCCCAGTTCATCCCTGGAAGCCTGTGTCGCTCCAGAGTTTTGTGCGCATCACAGTCTACGGCGAGTCTACGAGAGGCAACCGAAGAGAAGGTGGCTCGCGGCCAGGCGGCCAGCATAAATTTAGTCGAATACGGGCACAAGAAGCCCCGTGATGTTAGCTCTTTTTCGCATGCTTTCGTTCACTTGCAATCTGCTGCACGTCCTCCACAAATGTATCCCTTCATACCAAAGGGCCAAAGGACCCCTTGAATAATAGTACATTTATGTGCATTTGTAAGCGCAAGAAGACAGCGCACTAAATGAACTATATGCAACTTGGCTTTCAGGGGCGTCCGTGTGCGCATTCAGGGGCGTTCACGTCCTATTGAATCGCATCAGTCTATTCTGTACAAAGTCAATACACAACTATACAACTCATGCTACTTTACCCCGGGAATATATTTATGGTCACAACGATAGCGCGTCTGCCCTCGAATTGAAAGGCCACATGAAATTACCTCTGGTGTTCCTGGGACCCTGCGATTTTGGCCGGGGTGCATCCGATTCTCCTCGATTCTCTGGGCTGAGGGCCTTGCATAGCCATGAATTCCTCGATTCAGCCGGGTGCCTCCCCTCCATTCTCGTGGATTCTCCCGTGGGGCCCCTCGATTCTCCTCGATTTCGTTTTTGGTTCGACAGCTCTGCGCGCATGTTTCGCTGATGTTCTAGACAAGAAATGGAACACTCCAATTCAGGGCGCTTTCGTTTCCGTGACAAAAATGCAAAACATGTTGGAGTGCTTGACGGAGTAAAAGCTGAGCCAACTTATGTCAAGCTCGAAACCACATAACTTTCAACCTTAAACTTGAGCCCTAAATCCGAGACTTTAAGGTCCTCAAGCCTATACCACAAATCCAACACCCCAAAATAATGAGCCTTTGCACCCTCCTAACCCTCAGAGCTTGAACCCCTAAGCACGACACCGCATACTCTCAAACTTCTCAACACCTAGCCTACACCTCACTCAAGCTTCGCACAGCCCTAAACCCAAACGCGTGTACCTTAAACCATCAAAGGCCCTGCACTCTGGAACAACACTCCTAAAGCTTACATCACAGACCCTTCATCCTAAAACCGTAACCTGCAAATGACCACTTTCGACAGCGTTTTTTGTGCTCTGAGCATCTCTGAGCTGCCCGCAGCTTATCGAGCTCCACGACCACGAAGTCCCGGCCATCCGGCGCTTCCTTCCCACACTCCCCAAGGATCCATGATTGTCTGGATGAAGTAAAAGAGATGCAGAGGATATGCAATCTGCCATAATCTGCCTCAATCATCCAGAGCTCATCCCCGGGCTTTATCGAGTGGGAAAGCCTTCCGTCCAGAATCACCTTCCCCTCCACCACCAGCCTTGCGAGGCCGGCCCCGCTCTTCTCAACACAACGCTCGTCGCAAGAGACTCGTCACAATACTTTTGCTCGCTCCAACCTCTCATCTTGCGTGTTCAACCAATTCTTCCCCCCTGGCCTGAGGAGTGTTCCCTCGTTCGTTAGGTTCAGTTGCACCTTGTACACAGGACTTCTGGCATGGGCTGTGGCATCCAATCTCGAATCATCACTGATGGCACAGGCGTAGAGTAGAACCAAGCTGTGCAAAGCTGGGCATGGGACATTGGCTGGCTGCTTCTCCCCGTCCTTCACCTCTTTGAGGTGCTTGCAGGGCGAGTTGTTGGGGAGCTCCCAACAAAAAAAAGAATCAAAGAAGCTAGGCCAGGCTTGCGGGAGCCTGAGGAGCCAAGAGTGGAGTGAAGAGGTAGAGCGTCTCGCTGGTTTGAACCTCAGAGTCGCGAGATGTCGCGAGTCACATGTCGGTGCATGCGTAAGCGCATGTCTGCAAACCTCTGCTGTCCCAAGCTCCCGGCCCACGCATAGGAAGGAGCGTGGCCAGTGTTGTACTCCGAGATGTCCTTGCAGTCTTTAACCCGAGCCTTTGAGCAAACACTTCTGGTTGATGATTGTGGAAGATCTTCATCCTGCACCACCTCCAAAATTCAAAACTCTCGTGATTGTTAAACGGATTCGAGGGCATGTTCCTTCCTCTATCGGAACTGACTCGTGTGCTGCATGCTCCAAGCATAGCACAGCTTGTACTGACTGCTTCTCTCATTGCAAAGCCACAAAGGCCTGCTCAAATTCAGCACTGAGTGCTGCTCAGCGTTTTTACGGTCTGCAACCGACAACACTGCTCAAATTCTTTACAGATTGCAATACCAGAAACCTACCCTTGTCAAACACCCGTACAGATTGCTTCTCAAATTCTGTACAAGCATAACTTCCTGAACATGTCCCAGATATGACACAAGCCAATACTGCACCAATGCAGCGTTGAATGTGGGGCAGGAAGTCGGCAAGAGTTTGCTAGTCCTTGTCCACACTCGGAAGGGCCCAGCTGGAAGAATCCTTCCAAACTCAACGCCGTACGTTTCTACAGTGACGGGTCCCCATCCGGCCTCTTCCTCCTCCTCTTCCTCCTCAGTAGGTGCTTGTACCTGTGTTTTGGCCGTGCCAAGCGACAGGGGTGTCGAGCCGCCAGCACTGCCCGCCGCCTCGGCAGGGCAAGCCCACTTTCATGCTGGACCCGCTGTGCCTCTCCCCTCCCCCACGATTGGAACCGAAAGTAGGCCGCCTTGAGTCTGCTGCGGGTCAGCCTATGGGCACGGACTGCCTGGGCAGCCTCGACAGCTTGAGGCAACTCGAGACGTGCATCAAGAATAGCTACTGAAGGCATCTCCATGACATCTTCAGCTAGGACTCCCGGCTGTCAAACACAGAGCTGTCCTGGCCAGAGACCGGGACATCTGTGGATAAGGTCCTCTCCTGGACACAAAGGGGCAACTGGAAAATTGTAGCACTAGCAAAGCTTGGGAGATGAAAAGGCACAGGGCCCTTCGACCCCATGCTTGTACGATCCTGACAGCTCGAGGCTGCAACGGTCGGGGAGTCGGCTCCCATCCTGAATGTTTTGAGAGAGGGCGAGGCTTCTTGAGAGCTGAGAATGTTTCGCACTTTGAGTCACTTTGGCACTTCGCACCTCCATGTCCCAGGCCACGGGCATGAGGTAAAACCTCTGAGGGCTGGGATGTGAAATCGCTGCTGAAAGCCAAGGTCTCCGCACACAGTCCAATGTTCATTCCCTAAGGACACATGCACACAGACGGCGCGGAGATAAAAAGTCACCAAGCAGTTCAATCGGACCTCCGCCACCGGCACCTCACCAATCGCAAACATGGCTAGGACAAAAGGCAGAGATGTGCCTGCGTGTATCTTTCGATCGAGCTGAGTTGAACTAGATCGTACGGTCATCACCCAGGAGAATGCGAAGCGCCAACGCAGTGGCAAGCCAGCTGAAGTGACCTGTTCTTGCCACAGTGGCCTACGGCACCAGTTCGTTCGCGTGTTTGTCACTGGCGTATTCATCAAGACTGATTGAACTAGAGCTTACCTACGCCAACCCATGACTAAGTCTGACTGCTCATACTTATGACGCTGAGGAGCCAAATCTTCTGGCAGCTTCACCTTCAAGCAGTGTGTGATGTACCCGGATGTGATGATCATTGACATTGAACCTAGACAGCTGTCAATCCCACTTGCACAGCTAGGTCCTACAGGCAAATGTTTATGTCATGCCCAAATGATGACTTAGGCTCTTCCCCAATGAAACGCAGGAGAACAAAAGCCACACCCAACTCATGCCTTTGCCCGTTTCCTTTCATCTATCAAAAGCCACGCTGTGGTTGACTGAATTGTATCTGCAGCAACCAGAAAACAACACTAGAGCAAAAACAAGCGCGGTAAACATTTTCAGCTTGTGTGAAGCACTTCGAGCCGGCCACCCTAGACCTTAAACCCGAAAATCAAATTTGAAGTAACACGGGCCGATCGCAGCCCCCTCGGGCCGCCTCTTTCCCCCAGTGATTGCAGGGATTTTAAGAAAACTGGGTACGAATTAAGCAGGTTTCTGTACAGCGCATCTGTCGTCAATCAAACCTTGTCCTATTTGCGCTTCACGCCTGGAGACAGTGTAAAGTTGCTGCAGGGATGCAGCAACTCCGACCCCGACAGTTCCTGTGATGAAATAACTGACAGCGAACTCGACGGCTTTGGCACTCAAGCCTGCATGGATGCGAGCACATGCGCGAAAAATGCCCACATGCCCGTGGAACAATTGAAGCCAGGTCTGTGTCAGAGGGCGCAGCGCCTCCTGCGGCGGAACAACCATCATCCGTTTCACCACAACATCGACGGAGTAGTCTAAGGTTACTGCAAGAGCTGCAGCCAAGGCATAGCTTGGTCCGCTTGCAAAAGAGGAGCTGAGCGTGTGTTGAGCGCCAAAGAAGATGGAGTCGAAGATGGCGTTGCGCAGGCCGGCTGATCGCATCCGTATCAACAGGGATCCGCTCTGCCCACTGGCAGCGGCTGAGCGAACCACGGCTCCGACGGTGGAGATCCCCTCCGCATGCACACGCTGGCTCTGAAGGACCTTCCGGTACTCGGGCAGTGCCGCAACGGACCCTGTCATGAAGCCTGAACAAAAGCATCCCACAAAGCAGGCCTGCGAGCGCGATAACCCCAGAGTTTGGACGATTTGTGTGCACATCTCTGCCAGCAAGAACATCGGCGCTCTCGTGATGACCTTCTGCTGCACAGCTGGGCCCAGTCCTCGGAAGAAGTGCACAGCTGCGAAGGCCCCAGGGCGGCCCGGCGCACGGCCCTCGCCAGCTGCCACAGCGCGGACAGCTGCACGGATACCACCACAGAATGGATGAGCCGTTTCAGCCCTCAGAGTAGTCTGCATGCGGATCTTGACAACATCGAAGGGGTGGGCGCAAACTGTGCCTGGTATGGCACCGATGGCACCCACAAGGCCTTTGTGCAGGCACTCTTGGAGATCAATCTCTGCTAGGCCCATACGTAGCCCAGATTGGCTACACACCCGTGACTGCACCACGGCTGGGTGCCAGTTGAAATCTACGGATCAGTGAATTTCTTGCCAGAGAGCTTCCACCCTGCTGTTTCCTCCGCGCGCTATCTTCAGAGCAACTCTTGGACACTCACAATGTAGTGGCTCGAGCCGTGCTGCACAGGGCATAGGAAGCCACCCACGCAAGTGCCCCGCTTGGTGCCTTCCATTGGCATTTGGGGGCGTTGTCTGATCATTGTTTCCAACTGGCTCCTTCTTCATAGCACAGATTGGGACCCCGAACGACCCGAGCTTGTCCTATGCTGAGAAACCCTGCCTATCGGGTTGTGCTCTTGGCAACTTGGACAGTTCTTCCTAAAGGTGCGGATGACAGCTTTACAATGCATCTCATGAATCGCTCTAGCGTTTCCACGACTGGATTTGACACAGAACCGAGGGGGTGTCAATGGTCGTTCTCTATGGATTGATACCGAGGAACGCACAGTTGTATTTCTCTTTCTTACCTTCCTAAAGGCGAAAGTTATGCAAACCGACCGGAATGAAATCATGGTGCGGCTGCGCGCACAAGACCAATTTCAACCTTCCCAAACATGACATCTACTGATTCAGCCAGTTCTGAGAACGGTCTGTCGGGGCTATCCAGCCTGAGATACAAGTGCGCAACCAAAGCCAAGCGAAAAGCGCGCTTGCACTTGAATTGCATTGTGCCGTTTGTCTGAAAGTGAGCAAAAAGAAAAGAAGCAAAGACTCGCACACAACGCACCAAGAGATGCTCCGTGTGCAGCACATTATTCACAAAGGTCCCACGTTAAACACAACGGAAGCTGCTGTAGAACATATCGAATCTGGAAAGTCATGGAAAGTCGCTTGTTTACGCAGTTTACTCCAACGTGGCAGCGCATTGCACGTATGCCGAGAACGATTGCTCCTGGAGACATGCTTTTGTGTTTGCATAGCACCTTTCCTGGGCCACGCGTGGCGTTCTTCCAGCCCTTTAGGTAACAGCCGTAACCCATGTTTACCTGCAGCTTCATCTCGCACTCCTGCGATGAATTGGATCAAAGATGATCAAAGTGCCCGTGGTGCGTGTGACCAAGGCAGGGGTCTAAAGAAACTGTGAAGAGGATGCCAAAGCAATGCAGGAGCTGCTGCAACCCTTGGTAGCCAGCTTCAATCCTCTTCCCAAGCTACATGACTTTAAGAATCACGCCGGTCAATGCCACTATTCAAAAAATGGCCTTGACAGGCATGCCTAGAGGTCAGTGTCACAAGTTTTGCTACTCGCCTCCGTCAACTCACGTCAAAAACGCTTCATGGTGACCTCCAGTCATCTCTGCACACATCTCTGCCATCGTGTGGCAAGGTGCTTGGAAGTGTCAGCAACTGCTACAGTGAGCCGGGTTGCCTCGACTGGCCTCATGTGCATGTGCATCCCTGCTGTGGCTTTCAGAACTTTCACGAGATCTGGAAGCCACTCAAGATGCAGCCGACATTTCCGGCAGGTTTGCATCTTGATTCCCAGTCGTGCACCATGCGTGATGTTCAAAGTTCGGCTCAGGTCGTGGGGCTTGCGGAGGGAGATTGTGAAATGTCGGACCTCATGCTCCCGTGCGCGTGCATGTGTCCGAGCCCGGAAAGATTCAAAGTCGCAGCAACCTTCGTTTTTCGCTGTCTGCTGAATGGAGAGGCGCTGTGCCGGTAGTCTTGAGTACGCTTTCAACACAGAGGCTCGGGCCAGTGCTCATCCGGTCATCCAGGCCTGTGCTAAAGAGACAGGGAAGTCAATAGAACTCAAGAGATGAAGAAGGCCATCTCACAAACAGTCCTTGCCTCGGGCAGCGGTGGGTGGTAGACGTGCAGCGAGACGCACGGCCTTATACCCAGAGATCGAAACTCCACAAGAATTCCAGCACGCATACTTGAACTCATGGGGGTTCAAGTCCTCAAGTACAAGCGTGAAAGTACGGAAATGTAGGAATCTGGGCATCAGTCTGCCACCAGAAGACTTTGCAACATATATGCATGGTGTTTGAGCCACAGGCGTCTCAGAGGAGTGGCTGTGCCTGGGTCTCAGGTTTTCTCGGCTCTCGACACCCCATGGCCCAATTAACAGAGCCCAATGCACTTGAGAAAAAACACGCCTTGCTCTTCCAAGGTGCTCAATGATGTCTGCGCCGGCAGCACCGGATGTCTCTTCCCGACTCAGAAAAGAGCAGCTCTCCTCCCAAATCAAGTCGCTCTTGTGATTTTTCCTATGGTTCTCGGTGAGTAAGTGTAGTTCTGAATCTGCGTGCTGGCCCACCTCCTTTAGCACGCTGGATCGAACCACTTGTGGCCCGTCTGCACCTTCGGCACTTTGTCGGCTTCAACTCATCAAGAAAACAGACACAAACTTAAAAGCATGAGGGGCCTTTATGATGGTATGGCATACTTCTTTGCTAGAGTGGCAGCGGCCGCTGTCACATCATTACTTGGCAACTTGCAACCCTCCGCACCGCTAGGATACTGTTCAAAGTTCGGCCTTTCTGTACCGACTTCTTCGGCTCAACAAAATACCAATGCGATCAAATACACTGAGGGCAAGGCCGATGTTCACTGCACGCTCCTCCAGCTCGCCTTCGAGAACGAGCCTCGTAGCTTCGGGAACACTGCTGTATGTACCGCAAACGCTACACAATGCTGCAGGAGCTCTAGCTGCTAGCTCGAGGACTTCACCTCACCCAAGAGAATGAGACATTTCATCCTTTCTTGTGTGAAAAATTGGCGTCGGCAGCCGTTTGTGTCTTCCCATGCAACAGCAGATCTAGCAGAGTGAACAACGTATTTGTTGATGCTGTCAGCTGACCGATGACCAAAGCATCTGCCTGAACACGGACGGTGAAAGTTCTGCAAACCTGCAAAAACATTGCAAGAGACGCAAGAGAGCTCCAAGCACCCTGCGTCCAGCTCATGCCGGTGCCCCCCTCAATGGCGACCGAAGGCCTGGGAAAATGAAGACAGATGCCCCGATGCCCCGACGCAAGTTCAAAAGATAGATGAGCCCAAGCACGGTGCTCTCTCGACACTGAGCGACTTTGGCAGCTTTCGTGTTATGGGCCAGTTCGTTTCCTCTGTCTTACTGCGCTAAACCGCTCAACCTTCACCTCTCCTTACCCCCCTGACCTGCCCGACCAAAGCCGCATGGGAACAAGATATCCTCAACACCACCACCACCACCACCACCACCAGGAAATGGTAGACACGAAGGGAACAAGGCCGCAACTGTTCGCAGCCGTCATGGACGGGTCTACACAACTCTTAGTTCATATACTCTGTAAGCTCATAGACTTTTGATGTATGCATACCTTCATATCATGATAATCACAGCCCCTATGCTTTGATCGAGGCGCTCCGGGCTGTTCCCCCAGAAAGAGAGGATGATCTTGGCAAGCATTGGGCGTGCCCGTCTCTAGCATTCACTTGAGCTGCACTTGTGAATTGCAGGACCAAGGCAGGACCCCTGAGACTGAGAGAGCTGGGTGATGGACACTATATTTTTTCTCCTGCGCGACCAGGATGTGCCTCAAGGCGAAATCGCCCCAGCACAGGGCTCAGACACAGCTGCCACGCAATTGAGGGGAGTTCCGGAAATCGGAGCTGGCCATGCAGTGATGCAGGACTTGTGCCCCAAATCTCATTGAGTCGAACAACCCATCAAGGCGAGGGCCGGGAACATCGAAGAACATCGAAGAACATCGAAGAACATCAAGCCGTTCTGAGAATCGGGCTTTGGCCAGGTCCTGCTACTTTGAGGTGGCGTCCCACCTGGGGCAGCCTCATCTGAGCGGATCTCATACGTTGAAGTCGGCACATGAAAGTCAACCCAACGTACTGATAGTCACGCATTCCGAGACTCTTCAACGCTAATGCCAACAGATCGCGGTCAGTGACAGCCGATCTCGCCACTCTTGTGGGTTGAACACCGCCTGCCCAGCACAAGTCAAGTCAAAAGTGTTGCAAAACAAGCTTTCTCAGGCGACGTGACCCAGGCTAAAACGGTGGTTGCCACAAGCAGTTGCACAGGAGCAACCCGGCAGTTTTCCATCCATCAGATATCAACGTGCCGCAACTGTACCTCTTTGTATCTCTGTACTCTTCATAGTAGTGACTGACTGTAGTGCCCTGCCAGCAGCACACATGTGTCACATGCGTCAAGCGCACCAAGCCTTGGAGAGCAGAGTCGAAATCACATTCGGCGAGACTTCCGGGCGCGAGAACTCTTCGTTCAGCCTTGGAGAGCCACCATTGGGACATTGGGACCCACCTTTCGCGAAAAACAAAGTTTTACACGTCATAGACTTAACAATAACTAACTCCCATGTACGAGTACCATTTCCTTGAACTCCCCATACATTCCTCAAAGCATGCCTCAGCTGCCTCCGGCTACATCGACATCAGCGATTCTGTTGCAGCCGCGTCACAGGCTCTGCAGCCCGCGGAAAGACAAAAACCTCGAACATCCCGGGACCCAAGCATCGGGCTATCAAAGCTTCAGGCATCTTCAGGCCATGGGGGCATATGGGGGCTGCATGTGTTCGCACCATGCGCACTGTGCTCATTATCCCAAACTCGACGATAGCAGTGGCCGAATTGTAATGGGTACGAAAATGTTCAATTTTTCATGAAAGGATGCATCTTCGTCAAAGCTCTGGTCGCAGCTCAGCCTTCCCGCACTGTCGGGTCCCCAGGGTCCGAACCATCGTCCTGCTGTCCGCATGGCTCGCCTTGCAACAGCGAAGGGTGGGTCAGCTTGGGTCTGACTTGTCTGAGCTGTCCGGGTTGTTAATCAAATATGCACGAGCAAGCCCCAATTAATAAGAACGGTGTCAGACACTCAGACATTCCAAGCCCGCGACGTGCTGGAGAAAGCCTCTGAGCCTTTCGTGGCATCTGCCTCTACAGGAGACTAGGCAGCTCGCATATGCTGCCGGGTTCACAAACATAATCCGAGCTTTCGATGCAAGCAACCCCCTTTGATTGAATTCCATTTTGTCGGGCCGGAATCAGGCTGCATAGTTGCTCCTTTCCCGTATGCCCCCCCGGGGCCTGTCCCACGAGCCAGGGAAGATCTCGTCGCTCAGTGCCCTTCTCCGAATGGAAAGTAAACCTGTCAGTGTCATGCACTTTGTATAAACGAACGAGGCATCGAACATTTCCTTCCTTCCTTCCGACGCATTCACCTGCCCCAACAAGGCCGCCCCGTGCTCCACCGGGTTGTTTTGGTTATGAAAACGTTGCCCTGTCAGCCCGGAGCTTCACCTTTACCTTGTTCACAATCCTCAATAAGCCAATCCGAAATAACTCGGCTGTCTGCGTGGCTGCGTGGGCCATGGGAACGGGCACGACTTAAGAAAAGGGGTGCTTCTCTGTATGTCTCGTCTCTTTCTTCTCTCCTCTGCTTCTTCTTCTTCTTCTTCTTCTTCTTCTTCTTCTTCTCCTTCTTCTTCTTCTTCTTCTTCTTCTTCTTCTTCTTCTTCTTCTGCTGCTGAGCTTACAGGGCCCCAGAAGACCCCCTGCGCGCACGCGTGCCCGCAATTTAGCGTCTCCGTGAAACGCCCCAGCTCTTTCCCCCTTTCGGCATGGGGTGGACCCCGCGCCAAGGCGCCCCTGTCAGTGCGCAGTCGCGCAACTCTCACCCGTTTGCAGTTCTCTCTCTCTCTCTCTCTCTCTCTCTCCCCCACGCATGACCCCCCCGAAGGGAGGCCGCCCCCAGGGGCGCGTGCTGGTCTCGGGTCTGTTGGTACAAGACGTCCATCTCATGTTGAGTGGACGTCCGGCTCATTGGCCAAAAACTCGGGAGTCGGGGTTCGTTCTCTCTCTCTCACTCTCTTCCCGCTCTCTCTCTCTCTCTCTGAGTAGCTCTCTCTCTCTCCCTCTTTCTCTCGCTCTCGCTCTCGCTCTCGCTCTCGCTCTCTCTCTCTCTCTCTCTCTCTCTCTCTCTCTCTCTCTCGCGCTCCTTCTTCTGCAGGCTAGGACTTGAGGCCGGGACGACGTGAGAGGAGGAGAGAAAACTTGAATCTCGGCGCAGACACAACTGTAGGCTCGGGAGATTCTGAGACATCTTATCATGTCGGGACCTGCGACCGCAGCTCTGAGAGTCTTCGAGTCTCAGAGCTCTGCCGAGACTGCTGGCTCAGTCTCGCTGGGATTCGCCAGGTCGTGCATGCGGACCTTCGGGCTTTTCGAGAGCTTCTGAGCAAAGCGCTAAGGAACTCTGTACGCTCAGCCAACATGTGTCGTGACATTGACATGTTGCGCGATTCCAAGGCCCTGACTCCACACTCCTGCAAGGGGCCGAGGCAAGGCACCAGAAGTTGAATTTAAGTTGCCTGTCTTGAGATCGACGGGCCTCCAGGAAGCTGGCGGAGCCCTCGCCCAGCTCCGTCTGACGCTCCACCTGTGAGACAAATGACATGCTCAGGTGACTCAGGTGAAGGCGAAAAGTACTCTTGCTGCTAAATGCTGAGACCCTCGGCATCGCTCTCCCACGGGAAGAGGCCAGGTGAGAACTCCTCGCCAACCCATTGCATACATCACATTTGACGCAAACAGCACACCATGACCCCGTCTGTCAGCAGGATGCGGCTGGTGCCACAAGCCTGTCCCCACGAATCGAAGTGCCCAGAACACCAGCCAACCCGACCCCGAACCTACACCAGCCACGTCCTGGAATAGGAGATTCCCATGAAGAACCTGGTGGGCATACAGAAAAGGACTGCAGGCCTGGTTTGGGCCTAGAACAAACTTGTGCATCAAGGAAGGTGTCGGGCGCCCCGGCTTTCAACCACATCACGCGGCCTGCGGGGAGCAGTGCTGCTACACAGCTCTCGAAAGACGCAGTGTGGGTCTCAAGAAACATGAGGAGCGCAGCTAGTGAGCAGCTCGCGGGGTTGGACTGAACAGCAGCGACAGGGTGACAGGTTCTTTCGGGCCTCGCCTCGCCCAACAGTGTGTGGTGGGATCTTCTGCCCAGGGCCTTGGAAGTCAGGTCGGGCACGCGACGAAAAGTTGAAGCCACAAGCCGCCCGAGAATTCTCTGAGGGTCAGGCTCCAGCAAGAAATGACAACGGAAAACTCGTCGTCGCCTCGCGGCACTTTCCAGGAGGGCAAGCGGTCTTCGACTCAAGCGGCCTATGATCCTGGCCCTTTGCTCCGGAGCCCAAGTACGCAAACTCTGCATCCCAAAATAAAAACCATGAGGCTGCTGCAGTGGATGATGTGCTGGACAGGATGAAACCTCGAAGCTTTGCCATCTTCGCAGTACGAAATAGTTCTTCTCTGACAATCCACGCAGGTTAGCTCCAACGACTTCATGCAAAAGCGGATGCAACAGACACCGTGCTGAAGAGCAACACTTCAACACGAAGCAAACGCCCAATGTGAGTGAACGACTGTATGCAGTTATGTAGAAACGCCGCGCGCTCTGGGCAGCCCTGCTCGCTGAAATGCATCGGGCTTGCATAGGACGCCTTCAAAGTCTGTCTGCCGTTTCCGAGCTCTGTACAGCTGCGCTGCACTGCCCCAAAACTCTAAAAGCCCTTGCTACGCACTCCGGCCCACTCCATGTCCGTCATTTCGGCCGACACCAGCAGGTCCAGCACGGAGTGCAGCTGGGCTTTGCCATCGCCTTCCTGGCAGAGACAAGACTCGTTCCGGATGCCTAAACAGCCGATATGTGCATCAGAAAAACACAACGAACCGAACGACCAACACTTGAACTGAGGCTGGGCCTTGCCTGCGCTCGAAGGTCACTTAGCTTGCTGCAGAAGTCTTGCCTCAGCATTCTCCGTCGAGACGAGGCAATCTACGTTCATGTTCAGTGGCAAGTATGGCACGAGAATGACAAATGGCACGAACCTGGATTTGATGTCCCGGATGCTGCTGTAAAGGACATCTAAGGGCTGTGCAAGCTGAGGCTCTTGGACTCCTCTGCGGCCTAAGAAAGCATGTTTGGCTCTCCCTCGCCCTCTGCCTCTACCTCTCCCTCTCAAAAAGCCGTTTCATACCATTCCCGAAAGTCAGGACTTCTATGGCGAGCATGTGAATGAGCTCTACATTTCAATCGAAGACAAGTCTCAGGGTTCAAAATCCTGTGTAACTACTAAAAGACCGGACAACCCCACATGTCTGTCTTCTTTTTGGGCTGCCCACGCGTGAAGAGCGATGGTGCGTGTCGGCCGATGCGTTTTTGGACTGCTTGCGCGTATACATGGCAGATTTGTGTGATTGTGCGTGATGTGCGGTGTGGCGGCGATCGGCGTGGATGCAGCTCGGTGATTTCTTACTTTTCTCTTCGAGTTTCCAGCCGGCTGCACAGGTAAAGGGGTCCGGGCGAGTCTGGGATCTGGGCAAGTGGGGTGTGGTGGGTACCCGAATTCAACACCCTAAACAACCCTAAACTCAAAATCAACCGCAACCCCAAACCGGGAAGAACCCCAATCCGCAAACCCCCAAACCTTGAAGCCTAAACCTGTCTCGTGTAGGACTCTATGAACCGATGTGTCGGGGTGTCGCGGGGTGAGTCGGGGCGTGTGGTCGCGGGCGCGGGCGGAACGGCGCGGAGGTGGAGGGCACCCAACAACAAGAACCCCTGAATGTGATTTGGGACTTAACAGAAATTGGAGAAGATAAAGATAGAAAAGAAAGAGGACAGATCACCCGATCGCTTCGCTTAAAATCTTAGAGGGGGGGGGTCAAGGATACGATGCCATGCCAAATGAAGGAGGCGAAGCTGAACAGGAGAATTTGTTCAGAGTTGTAGTCAACCACCATTTATATTGCTCAAGGCTATTCAGCGATTGCATGTTGTTTTCGGGGAAGGTCATGCAACGCTGTAAGCTCTATTCCCATCGGTTTTCCCAGCAGCTGTCCTTTATTGCTGTTCAAATTCCAGTCTTTTCAGAATATACATCGAAATATACTGGACCCCCTTCTCTCAGAACGATTTCAATTAATTCTGTACGTGTTCAACATGGTGAAAGCTACGATTAAGATTACACATCGACTCAAGAATACATCGCAGTCCACGAATGGACTTTAACTAGATACACATTAGCACAATCAATGATTTTGTGTGTTTAGGGTGTGGCTTTGAAATACAAACTTCCGTTCAGCTTCCCCACGAACAGGGGCCGGAGGGGGATTTGATAGGGTGTGGTCCTTAATACTGAGTCTAATCGGATTTGAGTGAAATTATAACTACGAACGAAGCCCAGAGAATGCGACCTTTCACAACAAGTCCGAACTCGGTTTAAACATACGCATTTGATGTGGCCGAAGGCTTTCCAACTGATGCTCTGATGAATTCTTCAGTTCTCTTCAGTTGCCTTTTTTCTGCAATTCTGCCGCTATCTGTACGAATCTCTTCCCTCTCCTTTTTGTTCGTTGTTGGCTTATGGCGTTCGTCCTCTTCAGTTATTCAACTGACTTTGCTTCTCTGTCTTCTTGGCATTGGATTCTTATTCTATTGGTTCTGTTCTGTTCGTTCCGTCTTTGGTTCGCTAAGTTTTCCTTTTCTATGTGTCTATGTCTTTGTGTATGTGTGTGATGATTCATTTTGTAATGTACGTATTTATGTATGTGGCTCGTCATGTCATTAGTTCGTTGTGTCTTGCTTTCGTTCCTTCTTGGTGTATTTATCTACTTCGTTGAGGGGCACAGCCGACTAGCCAGGATGGACGCAACATGGATTAGACAAAGCGCTCACCACTAACCACCACCACCGCCGCCTGCACACTCCATGCTCCACACTCCACACTCCACACCCACCACGCCCACCACACGCATCCACACCCCACCACACACCAACACGCCAAACACAGGCCAACCACACACTCCACACAAAACACCACCAAGGCTGTTAGCACTTGGCACTCGAACACCCTCCACGCTTGGCCCAGCCTTCTGCATCCCCTCAGGAACGAAGACATTGACCATAGGCGCTATCCTTGTGCACACTGAGCCCAGGGTGTGGAGTAAACACTTCTTAGTAGGCCCAGGAATCCTACAGGATCGATGACCGAGTGATGTCATGCGCAGAGTGACCCGTTGGAGTGGCATCATCAATTTTCCAGACGAACAACAAGAGTCAGGAAACAGGGCCAGCAACTGCAACAAAATGTTGAGGCTTCGGCTTGGGCGGTGCTCCGGTGGGGGGAAAGATGTGACACTCCTTCGTGTTTGCAAGCACTTCCGAGAGAGAGAGAGAGAGAAAAAAAAAAAAAAAGTGGATCTCCGATGACATTACGTTGTCCAAGCTGTGCAACTTGGATCATTAGAGGCCAAGTCATCGGATGTGTTCGCTCATCTGCAGTACCGCCAACACTACACGACATCCCCAAGGCCTTCAGACCGGGCACTATCCAGGCCTGGAAGGGTGGGGAGTAGATATGAAGGGAGACTGCCACCTCAGTCTGCTGAAGGAGCTTGGCCACATCACTATCAGAGGCACAGTGCGGACAATGAGCATATGTTCGTATCCAGGTCTTGCAGTGCAGCTAGTGGGCTGGTCAATCAGCTAGGAGGCAGATAACATCATGAAAAAGGCCATGACAGGCTGTTGAGCCATTGAGGACCAAGCATCACTTTCACTGGGGTTCTCGATCTGGTGGAGGCCCAGTGAGTCGTGCATGAAGCTGACCTCAGCAGCTCTGCTTTACAACACGGTAGACTCTAAAGGACCGCTCCAATGGCTCTGCCACACGAAGACACGGTCTCTTTACCGCCGACACCTCCTGTTGATTGATTGATACTCTGTCAGTATGCCGGACTAGTATCCACACCTTGCTTATCCTGGCTTCATTTGACCGCCTGGCTGTGAACGGCTGACAATCAGGGCATATTGGCGCTTAGGCACCCAAAAACCGATCCACTTTTATGCGCAGCAAAGCTTTCAAAAGGTTTCACAGATGGTGAAACTGCGGTGCAGTGCATGGCTGAACACGAGCACTGCATAACTGGGCATCGCCATTCGTGCATGTATCTTTGGAACGGCTTTGCCAGGCTTTCCGCAAGAGAGACAATCATGCGGATGCCATTCTAAAAGGGTTGGCAACCAAGTGCATCTTCCAAAGGCACCCAGCACGGATGCACTCACGACAGAGCACCGAACAAGAAGCTCATGGCAATACTTGCCAGCAGCCTCGGCTGCTGAGGAGGTTTTGGAAGCTCAAGACATCACTAGTCGTGTGGATACTCCGACACATAGAGACGAGATGCAGGAACCAGAGCGTCACGATGGGCTGGCTGGTGACCTTGCAGCATACCAAGCAAATCCAAGCAAGATGCATGAATGGCAAGAAAGACCACGAAACATATAGCAAAACTCAGCAATCCACACTAAGTCCAGGACGAAAAATGCAAAAGTCATGGGAGGGCTGAGAATTGTAAAGACCAACGCCGCTGACCTTGGCAGACTCGCCGTAGGCTCTCTGTTGACCCTTGCAGCTGAAGCTTTTCATTTAAATCGATCAAACACGAAGCGTGCAGTCGACTTCGAAGTTTTCTGGACAAGCAGCAGGACCCCCAAAATCGGAAATGGACCTGCTGCCAGCCTTAGCACCCGCAGAACATGAGGAAACTGCGCAGAGGCCTACTCTGCATTCAGCCGGGCTTGGCACGTGCCCTTGATTGCCTTCGCCTCGCATGCTTGAGCGAATGTCTAAAGGATGAAGGGTGCTGAAAAGTTCTTCCCACCGGCCTCGAGCCACTCTGCGCTCCCATCGGCGCTGTACCTCTCAACAAGTCTCGTCCACTCTTGGAAAACGCCGCTCTGAGGATCCGAGATCCGACTTTCACATGGCTGCTTTTATCACACTAATCCCAACTTAAAACTCGAAAAATTGTTCCAAATACGATGCAGGGTACAGGGGCTTGTCGCTGGGCGCGTCAGCCAGATCTCCGACCTTGACTGTGGTACAGTCAAGCCCACCACGTTTGAGGTCGCGTCAAAACTTGTTAATACCGGTAAAGCTAGCCCGACTGGTCCGATCATGGTCATGGTATGTCATGGTCTGTCAGGGTATGTCATTGTATGTCATGGTATGCCATGGTATGTCATGGTATGTCATAAACCTCGCATTGGCCGGAGGGCAGTCTGAAGCCTCCTTGAAGTAGCTGTCTCATCGACTGCCTGAACGTGCTAGTCAGAAGGAGAAGCGCACTGTTAAGGGTCAGTCAGGCTGTCGCATGGAACTCTGTTGTCTCTGCGCGCTTGCGTGCTGATCACTGCATGGCTGGACCTTCTGGCGCTTTCAACCCGGCAGCGCCAGCTACGCACTTACAATTGAAGGAAGCCTTGTTTCTTGGCGTGGCGAAACAAACCCCATTCAGGAAGCGCACACCCCCGAGAGGGGCTTCAACTAGATGTTATCAGCAAATCGGCAAACTCAATGCTGCAGGCTGCTGTGCTGTGCTGTGCCTTTTCTTTTCTCAAGTTTACTACACCCCACATACTCTACATTAGACGCAGTAGACTCAAATTTTGCTCAACACTCTTAGAGACCCTCTGCAAACTCCTCAGCCTAACTCTCTGCTGCTAGGGCAAGAACCCTGAAGTGCTGTTTACCTCGTGACAGAAGATTATGGAAGTTCTGGACTTCAATAGCCCTCGGCGGACTTGAATGGACTTCAGCCGCTGCATTGTTCGCTAGGGAGGCTCCAGTCTCTCCTGGTTCCAACCCGCCGGCGTTCAATTTCTAAGGAGGTCCAGTCCATGCATAACACTGTTCTGAGTCCCCATCGGACATCCAACTTCCGCAATGAGCTTCTGGGGGTAAGAACACTTGTCCCAACAGCCACCTCATGACCTCACATGCAATGCATGTTCCCGCCCCCTCGAGCCTCGAGATGTCCTGCTTGTAAAACATCATTTGGGTGCTAGTACGGCCCGAGATATTCCCGGAATGATGGCGGCAGTGTGATTCGTTTAGGATGGCGAATGGTACTTGCTGAGAAAAGGAGGATGTCTTGAACGGAGCTGGCACGAGACTTTCGTATACCTTCGTGTTGCTCATGGCTTTTACGATGGATTCTTGACTCCAATGCCCTTGTCCCGCATCTTGAAACCTTCGTATGGGTATGCAGGCCTCTGGCACGGCCTTGGCTTGCGTCCCAGAAACGACTCACCATGACTATCCACAGAGAGCTGTTATGAGCTGTTCTGAGCTGTTCTGAGCTGTTGGGATGATGCTGGATTTGTCGCCAAAGGACGGTCACCAATCCTAGTGCGCTGCTCTTCTCTCAGTGACCCAAGAGATGTGTCCTTGAAGGTTTCAGGAAGGCTCCCTACTTCAGAAACTGCCTATTGTGGCAGCTTGGTCCAGCTTGCGCTTTGCACTGCTTCATTGGACTGGCATTTACTGCCTCTGCAGAATGAGTGGAGGTTGCAGTCAGGAACGGTAGTCACGGCGTAATCCGCCGAGGCCTCGGGCCAAACGTGGTTGTCAGACATCGGCCCCCTTTTTTCGCCTGGAAATGGTACCCCCCCGTGGGCGACCACAATCTGAAAGCAGACGGTTCGGCAGGACCAGGGCAGTTGAAGCCCCCGCATAGCAGGCCCCCCCCCACGCCCCCCCACCACCGCCGACCCCCCACACCCGCCCCACGCCCCCACCCGGAACCTTAAACCCTAAACCCAACCCTTATTGCTTGGGGTCCAGCGACTTGGGCGCTGCGGAATCACCATGTTCACGCGGATGCGCTGGGCCGGGGCGAGGCGGGTCGCGTAGCGTTAAAATTACAGTTTGGTCCCTGAGTCCGAACGTCACCTGCTAAAGGCGTCATGTAGCTGCATGCACGCTGTGTGGGCATGCACGCTACCAAGCCAACCCTGCCACCCTGCAATCCTTCAAAGCACACGGCGAGGTGCCCACACTCACCGGTACAAACATTCTACAGCGCTTTGAACACGCCTGAACTCTTCGCACATAGCTCCGGCCATCGTAGCCCAGAAAAATAACAACAGACCTCAGTTAAGGCACACATTCCCAGCCCCCTATGAGCTTGACTCAAAGGCAAACCCGGCAGCCTGCGCAGCTTTACCTAGACCCCTTGCTGGTAGCCACAAGAAGCCACAAGTGGTTTCGTGTGACCGGAGCAGAGCACCCGGAAACATACAGAAGCTGTGCACTTGCATCCAACGTGCTTCCGTCACATCTCTCAACCCCACTTCGGAGGAGCCAAATGCGGATGGTTGTGCAAAAACTCTAATTTCGAAGTTTCGAAGCCCACATGTTAAGAAAAACTCCTGCCCCGCAGCCAAGAAGCCCGACAGCCACAGGCTGCTTCACAAACCTCAGGCATCTTAAAGCACATGCAGCTCTGGAACTCGAATTTACAATTCGCTGTGGCAAGAGTGTGAGTGCGAGACCGTTTGGGCAGCATCTTTGAGTGCAAGTTAATATGCAAGTAGTGTCAGCGTCAGCTTCAGCTCATGCTCCCCTGATGCAGACAAGTCGCACGAGGATACTCCAGGGAGGAAACAGCATCGCTCTCTGCTCCTCAAATGCCACAAATTCACTGTGGCAGACACTACTGTTTGCACCATTCTGTTCTTTGCATGGTAAGCGGCGGAAGTGAAGACCATTTGCAGATCCAGCAGAAGCCATGCAAGTGACATGAGGGTGGCAATACCCCAGCCAATCACGCCTTAAACTTGCAGACCACGCTCATGCTGAACATGCGAAAAGCAACCCTGTTCGAAGACTTCGGCGATAGCTGACTGTGCTCAAAAGAAAGGTTGGACCTCGAAGGCAAACACATTCAACTGAAAGACCTGATATTTGCCAATACTTCCATCGCTGACTTCGTCAAGACAGCAATAACAGCTCACTCTAGTGGCTCGGCCATACTATGTGGTCACGCATCAAGATCAACATCGTTCAACATCGCTAAACTCCATATTCAACTCCTTATTTTTCCAAGATCTCTCAACTGATCTGTCAACAAGGGGCTTGGCATCTGGGACGGGCCAAAGGCCAGCTCCACCAGACCCCGGCAACAAGGTGCTGCTGCGTGCCTGCTAAAAGCACGCAGTTGTGCTCTGCCGTGCCACGGGGCCCTTCGGAGCACAACGACTGCGGTGACTGAGTATGGACTCAGTTCACTCTTCTCCCTTCGAGAAGGTGCACCAACTCGTCCCGAGTGACTACGGGATAAAGACTGGCGACAATGTATACAAGCGATTCACTCCAAAGAGCTCCGCGCTTGTGGAACTCATCTAACTCCATCTATATAACTCTCCATGCCTTGCCACAGCAGCAGACGCACACAGCCAGGCAGAGCATTGGACTTTGACCTCCGCACAGAACGGCGCATTTCACTTCGACTTGACCCCACGACGGCCTTTGAAGATATGAAGCTTTGGGGCTGCGCGGCATGCCCTCACAGAGCTGCGCAAACGGCATTGGCTGATTTGGCTGCCATCCCCTTGATCATCCCCTTAACGCATGCAAGCAACATCATCGCGGAGAAAGGTTATCCAGGAGGTACCGCCAAGGCTTTCATCCGTAACATCGTCCTGGAGGGCAAGACACTTTGTGTCAGAGTATGCTACAGTAGCCCCCACTGAGTAAGCAGGTTAAGCAGGAAATGCGGAAGCAACTCCAAACGTACACGATCATGAATGCGAAATCCTCAAGCATTCATCCCTGGCTTCAGCAGCGTCAAGCAGCACATAGCAGCATCCAACATATCATATCTAACGATGCAAGCGTCTCACGGATCCAAGAAATCAACGTCAGTCACACAGAACGGAAAGCAGACGAACATCGCATATGGCCACCACCAGTTCCTCGTCATGTGGCAACCATGATTCGGAGGCATCCGCCATGGCGAACATGCATGAAAGCAGAGATACTTGCCAAGTCTTGGGCGCATGGCCCACCCAAGGTCAGGGACAGCAGACTGCTGACTGGTGGCTCTGATATGCTCTGATTCAGAGTTTCTCACTTCCCGGAATGTAATCTAAATTCCAAGCATGGTGCCCCGGATCGTAACGACAGGGCCTAGGACTTTGTGGACTTTCAGCTCGCTGCACCCATGAGGTGAAACCAAAATTCTTCAAGGTCCTAGATGACCCTTGTTTGGTTTTATACCAACTTCTCAATGACATTTGAGTTTTATGTATGCCGGCGCATGCTGCCGGCAACACTAGACGCTGTAAGTGTCAGAGCTTGAAGCAGGGCACGGGACCAACTTACGCACATCTACCATGCGAAGATGCACAAACTCCGAAGAACATGTTTTTGGCAGGCAGAACAACACTGATATGCCGGAACTTGCACAAAGCGTAGCTGAACTTACGAGTTACTAGTACATCAATGCTCATTGATGCAACCTGCTCCCCGGCGTTTCCAACAGAACGCCATTCCGAAAAGGCTTCGGGCCCCGGGCGCTCTTCGCCACTTCGGAGGCATCCATAAAGCCAGGCGGGCCTGCCTCTGCGCGGGGCTCTCGAGCCCCCAAGGGCGAATCATGGCGAATCAGCATGCCCACTTATCAGAGCCCCTGTGTTTTTCCAAAAGAGGCCCGTTTCGCGTGGAATCGCTTGCGAGAATGGCTTGCGTGCCTGGGGGCCAGCGGAACCGTTGGGTGCCCAAGCGAATTTCCGCTCCTGGCCAGGGCAGGGGCTCTGAGGTCACCACGGTCACCACAGCTTTCAATCTCGTGAAGTGTACGTGGCAAAAACTACTGGGCCACGTCCAAGCTTGAGAAAGGCTACCAAATTCAGGGACGAACGAGCGCACCTGCAGCTGCCCACTTAGCATCTTGATGAAGCAGTGGGCTCCTGGGCGTCTTGCCAAAAGCATCAGCCTTTGCAAGCCTACGCCTTCGCAGAACCCCGACTGCTTTGTGGCTTCGCCATCCCAGCTGCAAAAACACCTCACATTCAACCAAATTCAACCAAATTCAACCAGTAAGCGATCCATCTGCTCGGATTGCTAAGCCGCTCGCCTGCGTGGTCGTGGATGGGGCTCTGTTGACCCCGCTCCCAACAAAGCAGCAATACCTTGCCAACTCTAAACTGAGAACGAATCACGAATCGCAATTCTTGTCCTTCCTAATGTACACTTCCAATCCTTCCTTTCGATCTTTCCTCTAGCTCTTTCTGCCTTTGCTGTGAGAAGGTCAACCACGCGGAATGTGTTTAAAAGACGCAAGCGGGGGGGGGGGGGGGGGATCTCCTCACATCGGCCAACCGGGCTGCAACAAGAGGGAGCGTATGGCACACAAAGCTCGCATCCCCCACGAGAACCGACAACTTGAAACTGCACAAGCACCGTTCTCAGACGGCGGCTATGAATTGGTTCGGGGAGTAACCGACAATGTTCCTGCCAGCGTTGCTGAGGCTATGGCTCAACAAGCCCGCAGCCATGATTTCTGCGAACTTGTGCAAGAGTTTGGTTGAATCGTTGTGAAGCGAAAATCCGTGCAGGCCTCGAGCCGTAGGCGTATGGAGAGCGTAAAGCAGGCCAAGCTCGGAAGGGGCCCCCGCAACCCGCACCCCCCTACCCCCCCTCCACCCGCACCCCCCCACCCAGCTGAGGCCTGTTCATATTGGGGCACAAGCGACCCTTCTAGCGCCCGACCTTTGAATCTCAGGGACCAGTGCCAGTGACTCTGAGATACTGGCAGACAACTTGTCATAGCTTTAGACAGTCATCCAGGTGCGATTCTATTTCTGCATGTCTTGCAAATACGCCGTGCCGGCGGGGCCCACCACAAGGCAGGCGGCGTTTCGCCTTTGTTTATGCAGTCATATGTTGATCCCACTGACTTTTGCCAGAATCAAACCACGGCACGTAAACTCTTTTAGTGTGTAGAATGAGGACCAGAACTGCACCATTGCGGCGTACAAAGTGCTAACTAACACCCGCAATACCCTTTGCATCTCGGGTTCCCCACACAACCCTCTCCTACCTGATGTGCACACTCTAGAGGGGCGAGACTGTTTTGGTTGCAACTCTGATCGTTCGAGGGGGAGGAGGGGCACCGTTCGGTCAACCACATCCAACTGAGTCACTGCCGGCGCTCGCCAACACGCATGCCCCCTCTGGGGAGGGAGGGCGGGATTTCAACAAGCAGCTGTCGTCAGCTGACAGCCGACCTGAGGTAAAGCGAAAGCATGAACAAACATGTGCACACAGTAGGGGGGGGGTTACGTGCATGCGCCGGCCATTAGCGCAACCTCCCCCGTCGCAACGCTACGCAGAGAGAGAGAGAGAGAGAGAGAGAGAGAGAGAGAGAGAGCGAGAGAGAGAGTCAATCCGCCTGGTGTAGCGTCCCCGCCGGTAGACGGCATGCTGCTGCCACTCACGTGGGTTCAGCTTCACGTTCTGCAGAGTCTGCCGGTGCGCAACGGAACAGCACCATGGAAAACCACAGCTAGCTAGACATCAAAGCCGGTTCAAAAATCATTACTTCCTCAAGCTCCAACCTCTGACACGGACGTGACCACGTCGCCGTTGATCGGCGCACCCATGGCCGGTGCGGGAGGGAACAACTCGCCTCACTGTTTGAAAGATGTCAGTCCCTCCACGCCAACTAACAAAAGCTGCCACAACGACTGCAACAAACCACTGCGACAAAGCTCTGACAAAAGTCCTCAGCCTCTGGCGCAGGCGGTTCACCAGCGAGTGCATGTCCAGGTACTGGTCGCTGCTCTTCTTCTTCTTCTGCTTCTGCATTGGAGGTGGCCGAGGTTTGGCATCACAATCATCACAGGCGTTTAGCGCTGTAAAGGAACGAACTTATCCCAACAAAACAGTATCACGGGTGACGTCGCCTCAAGCTGCGTGAGCCCTGGGGCATCAGAGAAACATCTCAGCACAGCCACCGCAGATGCCTGGCAACACTCCGTGCTTCACAAGATGTACAGCTCCAGGCAGGTTCTGGCGAGCAAGTCGAGGGAACTGCGGAGCAGTAAGCTCACAGACATGGCGCTTGTCATACAGAACTCCTGCCCCACCCCTAAGGACACGGGAGGCCTGGGAGCGCCTCAGAGTCCCAGCCAGGCGCCTCATACGTAGCGTCTCAAAAGCATGCGCAGAAGGCTCAGCAACTTGTTGAGGGACTCAACGATTCTGGCAAAGGGTTTGGGGGTAAAACCGGGCTCCCACAATCTCGGAAGGAGAAAAATTAAACACGCTCCCAGAAGAAACCCGTTGCACCAGTCTTGTGCTTTCCAGGCTGTCCAGGCTTGAATCCACAAGTCAGCAGGCGTATGCGGACAAGCCAGTAGGCAAAAGCCCCTACCGAAGTGCGAAACCTGCAAAACGTTCAACACCTTGTGGAGGATTCAGCTCTGAGCTCTGGGGACTCAACGACTGGCACATGGACACTCGGCCAAGCCTCGCCAGGAGCGCCCCGCGCCGGGTCGCCATGGCCATGGCAGGAGCCCGGGGAGACTCGAAAGTTCGGCTCTTCAAGACTTAGGAGGACTGGTAAGGAACTTTTGTAGGCTTTAAGTCGTGCTAACTCACGCATGTCACGCATGGGTCTCACGACGTCTCACGGTTTCAAGGAGCTCTCTGTGTTCTAGCTTGGGTTGGCGTAGGAGCTGAAAGACGCTACCCATTCTTGCAGCGATTCGAGAGCAGCATTTCTGGAGGCATTCTGCAGTGCACCTGCCCAGGTCGAGTTACTTCGAATAGTCCGCTGTTGCAGCAGGGTTGAAGGACAACTTTGTCGCGTGATTGCTGAAGTCCACATGTTTGCCTCTGCTTCTACCAGCCCTTCAGGAATGGTAGAAGGGGCACGACAACAGAACAGCACAGGTTGCTTGGACAAGGTCGAAACAGTATGAAAAAGCTTTGCAAAAGGCTTGGATTCTGGATCCCAAAAACCAGGACAACCAGGACCAAGCAACGCGTGCTGGGGTCAAGATCGTCTAGACTCATCACGAAGGTCTATCTGGTCGGCCGATAGGGAAGTGCGTGCCCAGGGTTCAGGGTTCGCTGTCCTTGCTGGTCTACTCTCATCTGCAGTGCGCCCTGACCAAGCATTCGGGCAGGTATACAGCTATGCCAGTATGCAGATCAAATCATTCGGAGCAACTTCTTGAATACGACACATTATCGCGCTAGCCAACCATTCCACACAAGGCCTCCCATGCCACAGCCGTCGTCACGACAGCAGGGAGCACGAGGGCGGCAAGTGCAGGGGGGCCAGAAGGAGAAAGCTGTTCTACGGAGGCGCTTTGTGTAGTCAATGCAGTCGGTGCTGTACTCAATTCTGCTTAGGGTCGAGCGCCAAACAGTGCAAGAAAGTCCACTACCCCTCCATGATCATTTCACGACCACCCCAAGAATGTGCACAGAACAGAGGCGAGAACGCACTTTGTAACACCGCGAAATGCAGATTTCCTGAGACTGGATGCACGCAACACATCAAGTCACTTGTCCAAAACACAGGAAACTACGTGCCTGCCACGTTTTCACGACATGGAACGATGCAAGCCTCAAAATGTTCAAGGGACCTTGGCGGGTGCACGATTTCGAGGACCCCAAGAACTCTGCGGGCATGCCAGCGCCCAGGCGGAGAGGGCGATTTCGACCCAGAACGCGAGCAAAGCGCGCGTGATCTACGCGGCTTTCTTACTCTTAACGTTGGGACCCCATACTGCTGGCATGCTGGAAACTTAGCGATAAACACGACTACAGCCCCCATCCCCCTATCCTGAGCCTCTTAAGGAACTGCATGGGCCACGTGGACAAAGGCTAACTACAAGGCAGTTGATGATGGAGTGGTTCCGCAAGGTTGCAGACAGTAGCAGAGAGCAGGGAACAAAGAAGAGCAAGGGGCGTGCAAGCAAGACGTCAGCAAAGAGTCAGGCAACGAGATCGTAATCTAGCATCTGACTTACGGACCTCACGTAGCCAGCTACCTGGTCCCCCTAGCATCGCCTGAGAGCGCGCGCGCGCGTGCACAGTCTCAACTTGTGCGAGCGGCAAATCCTATGACCGCTACGCCAGCCACCAGCAGGAATATGAAAGCTGAAGTGGCAACAGCCGCGAGAGAGTGACGTCTGGCATCATTGGCCAACTGTGGCACCTGGAAACTCCTCATCCTGCTCTTGCAGGGGAATTTCTCCGAGCGCATGGACTGAGCGTGGACACAGACGGCCCAAAAGATGTTCTCAACTCTACATTGACTCTACATATCCAGGATCTACGCTCCTCGGCACCAAATCACTGAAAAAGGCAGCTGTCCCCAATCAGCTAGACAAGCACTTCCCAACTTCCCGCCCTTGCAATGATAACTTAGCAGCCTGCAACTCAAGAGCACTTGCCGCTGATCCGGGAAGATGCAGCGCAGACACGCAAACAAGTGTCCGACCGTCGTCTGGCGAGTGGACCAAGATGGACCAGGACTAGTTGTTTGTTTAAGGCGCGTGGCGCGCCGCAACGGTCGAAGCTGATCGAGGCTAGCTGTTGAGTGCCACAGGTGTGGCCGCGTCTCGATCGCTTCGGACAAAATCTGGTAAAGGTGAAACGAATTTTGCTCGCTGCCCAGGGTGTTTTTCTGTCCAGAGCTGTGTCTAGAGTGTCAAGTGTGTCACGGGCTCATGTTGGCACTTGCTGCCCGCCAATGCCCCATGTTTTTGAAGTGGCCTTAGAATCTGTTACATGGCTTGACAGCCACTTTCCAGCACACAATGGAGATCTTTTAGTGCTCCTTGATGCAGCGGCGAGGGAACCAACTATTGGATCCTGTGTTGCCCTCAGAAAGCATCTTTAGTGGACCACTACCTGCCACGCGCGTGCCCAACGCAAAGAAAATCAGTCAGTTCTGCAGTTGAAGTTTGGCCATGCAAGGAGGGAAGATGACCCATGGCCCACACGCAGACAGGGACCCAAACACACCGCCGAAGAGCTAAGCCAGGTACTTCTCTTTGTCAAAAGCCTCCAGCCTCCACCACACTCAAGCCCCACCAAGATGAGTAAATGCAACCTCTGGCCCTCCCCCCACTCTCAAGGAATCGTTTTGGTAGCTAAGTCACCTAAGCACCTACGTTTCAATTGGCCCGTTCTGTTGAAAACATTTAGCTGCTTGGTGCTAGAGTGCCCAGCCTTCTTGAAGAAGAGGCAGCACAGGAAGCCACCCTTGCCTGAAGACTGTCGCTTGGTACAAGCTGCAGCCGCTTGATTCCAAGGCTCTCTGGGCTTGGGGGCTCATCTGAACGGGAAGGAAAAAGTGAACAAAGTTCAGTGCTGAGTGGTATTGAGCGAGCAGTACCGTCTGATGGCCTTTGTCCTCGTTGCGGACAGCCCTGGCGTCCACGGCCTCAGGGTCAGGAGCAAACAGAGCATCTCAGGCAGTTGGCGCATCTACTGGCGTGCTCCTCTTCAAGCTGGGGAGGCCGCTTTCATCTCCTTGGCGCATGAACTGGGCTCTCTAGGCTCTCAAGGCTATCACGAGCCTCTCAGAGAAGCTTTGCAGAGCACTCAGCATTGCAACCGGCTGCAAGCAAAAGGCCTGCTGCCTGCTTGGCAAAGACCAAGCTTAGTAAAGTACTGAAACATTAGGTTGCTTCGCTTCCAGGTGCAGCCTGACACAACTTCGCAGAGCTGTGGAACCAATCATGTCGCAGTCAGTAGCAGCAATGATTGAGCCAGGCATCACCACCCGGGCTGGACTGTCCGTACCTTGGCAAGGTAGGGACTTCGAAATCCAAGGAACCAGCACCAGGTAGCATCATATCTGAACAGCAAAGCCGGAATGGTGGTGCATCTGTCCAGCAGTGTGGGTGCCCCGGCAGAGTCTTGGACTTCAATGCCCCTGCAACATCGATGTCCTGCAACAACTGATACTGCATGGCATGAACGGCATGAGAACGCAAAGCCCAGAAGAGAGGAAGTTGGGGGGGGGCTGTACAACACACGGCTCACAAAGCGCAGAAAGGATACGCAATCTTGCAGAGCGCCGCCCCCATCCGCAGAAACCGTTGCTGATATGATACACTCCAAGCTCGTCGCTTATGAACCGCAAGGACCGGGAAGAGAGGATAGGGAGACTGAAGAGAAGGTTCGCTTATGAACCGCAAGGACCGGGAAGAGAGCATAGGGAGACTGAAGAGAAGGTATGGAGAGAGAGCCGGACAGGGAGAGACAGAGAGAGAGAGAGAGAGACAGTGCTGAATGTTGAGCTGGGGGCGGGAAGCGGGGGTAGACAGTCGGAAGTGAGACAAGAAGTTGATTCAGGGTTTTAGAGAAGTTATTGTAAGATGGCCAGACATGCTTCCATCAGAGATGGCCATCTCTTTGTTCTGCTTTGCGAATGCAATGCCATGCCCGATGGAACTGCAGACGTGGAACGAGAAGAACCCCAATCTCGCTAGACTCGACACTGGCGCGGCCATGTCAATGTGCCAGGAATCTGACTGGCGCGACTACAAACCACCAGCAACGGTGGAAACTCCGAGAGCTCACATGCCTCAACGCCTCAACGTGCGCCTTGCAAAGCACGTTCCACAGGTGACTGGCGCACATGTACGTCAATACAGAAACGTCCTCTAAATCGTCCTCTTTCTTGTTCCTTGGCATATATCGGTGCGCACGCGTTCATCTGGCCACTCTGAAGAAAGATCCTCATCTATCCTGCTCATTCTCTGGGATCCTGGCTCCTTCTCCTCGCCCCAAATGTCCGAATCCCTGGGATAAGCACAAGTTTTTCGATATCTATGGGCACCTGAAGCCCGTGAACATGTAGGTGTTTGTGGAGGACTCTCTCGGCGCGCGGCGAGTCGCTGAAACCCGTGCCAGCAGCTCCCTGACCAAGCGCGAAACTGGGAGGCACATGACGCCAAGCTCGACTGTTCAAACACTCCCCTACCTCGCCGAGACCCTCGGACGCGACATATCGGTTCAGAAGGAATCTGAAGATGAAGGGCGCGAAGATGGTGGCCTGGCGTTAAGCTCTCCCCTTTTGCTTCTGCCTCGCTCTCTTCCCCCCTCCCCCTCCCCCGCCCTCTGAGACTCTATCCCTCCCTCTCCTACCAGTAGTGGCCCTAGCATGCTGGCACTGCCAGCGTCGCTGCCTTGCTCTGAATCACCTGATGTTCTACTGATCCCACATACTCTTGGCTCTCGGCTGTAGCACCCTCACACTGAGGTCCAGATACGTCCAGACATAGGGCTTGTGGCTTCTCTAAATGAACACTGAATCCCAAAAAACCCTACCCAAGTTGTTGGCTCAGCTCGAGGAGCTCAGAAGCTCAGCATAATCATGCCAGCAGATACATAGAGAAGTGCCCAAATCACGATTGAGAAGGTCCTTGGTCAAGGCGGAAAGTGTCAACGTCAATGTGCCCCTGTTGCCCATATCAGCTCACAATCGTCACATTGCGGGAAACTGTAGCGGAAGGAGAAATGCAAACCAATAAACAAAAGCTTGAGAATGAGATCGCTCGCAAACGGCAAGAGATGCATACGATACCAGGCTTGCATGCACTGAACATCTTGGAGGGCTCAGCTTCACATGTCTGGGCTGGACACCTGACGACAGGAAGCTGTTCCCGACTGATCATTGAGTCCAGGTGCGCTGAATCCAACATTCCCGCGGAGAGCGCCATTTGAGCAATCAAGTACCTTGGCAACTTCGCCCCGAGAGATGCAATTGCCGACGGGTCCCTTCATAGGTGCCGCACGCAAATTCAGCTCGCCCCACCATGGCCCAACCGATCACCCATCGCGCTTTGCCCATGAACGGCGCGCAGACGACCTGCGTCTAGGAAGATGGCAAAGGCCCAAACACCCCTGACAAGACCTTGTAACATAAGACAAGCTGAAGGACACTCTTGACCGTTGAGCGTTTGGCGGTGGGAAGATTGCTGTACGCCAACTTTCGGCAATCCATCAGCAACCTGCTTGCCCACACGATGATCCACCTGTCCTGCACCGGTCCTACACCTGTGGTCACACAGGCACACACACACACACACACCCACGCACACGCACACGCTCACGCACACGCACACGCACACGCACACGCACACGCACACGCACACGCACGCACACGCACCCCGAAAATTGGCAGAGATAGATAACACCTAGAGAAACCTTGATCTCGATGGATGGCCTTTGTTCCGATGCACGCGAAGATGCCCATGATGCTGCCTGCAACACAGCTTCCGACAGGCCTAAACGTCTAAACCCTGATGCTGGTTTGCTCTTCGATGCTACAGATAGCCACGCATAGCTCACAGTCCATGCACTCGAAGTGTTGTACGGCAGGCTTACCATTGTTCACATGCTATGTGGCAAGAACACAGTGTGCCCGGCACTAGACGTGAGTCTGGCATGAGTGCACTTTGAGGGCTCGAAATCAGAAAAGGAGTGCGGCTTGCCATGTTTTGGTATTGAATATTGTCTGCAGTGCTCTGAATTTCTTGCGGCGCTCTTCCGGGACTTCGGTGGCGCTCGCGGTGGCGCTCGCGGTGGCCTTTCCAAAAGGCATCGATGGACATCAGCTGCCCCAAGGGGATGGTGAAGGCCACTGTGCCAGAAAAGAAAATGCCTCAGGCAGTCTCCAGCAACCATCGGGGCTCGAGTCTCCACAGCTCCGTTTGGGGCGCGGGGTCAACAACAGGAAGAAGCACACGAAAATCACGTCGATCTATGTCTGTGCAACGTAACACGGAACTCAAGACTGGAACGACCACACAGCAAACTGCTATAAGTCCTCTCGGATTTTAGGCCCTACTAGGCCCTCCAGGGGCTCCCTGCGAATCATCCAGGAGGTCACGCGCTTCGTCTGCTTCACCCAGACCTGGAATCGTAGAGCATGTGAGAGCCATCACAGGCCATCAGCCTCCCCGGAGTGCTGCGCGCTGAGATGCTGGCATGATGGGCATGATGAGGCGGATTCAGGCAGGCAAAAGACATGCCGGCGATGAAGCATCCCCACCTTTAAGGAAGAAGCCACAAGCACAACGCAGCACACCATGACAACTGCTTTTGCAGCTACGAGAAAAGCTTCGCTGGCTTCGAGCGTGGCTATGCAGTACAATGCATAACGTGACCAGACAATGGAGGTACATGAAGGCTGCAGGGCTCCAGGCAGGTGCGTGCCCAGGAAGTGGGTAATCGTTGCGTACACGAAAAGCAGAGCCTGGAGCTCTGTGGAAAGAACAGGAGACCCCATTCTGTCTTATAGACGGACTTTATTCTGAGAGGCTTGGAAAGAGTGCATCTGCCTCCCCCGTCCCACGATACGCTGAAGATTTGCCTGATTACCTTCTGAGTGTGCCGTGTCATCCTGAGGAAAAGCAAAGCGGCAGATTCGTCACTTGCCTACTAGAAGCTGGGAGCCTTCGAACGAACCATGGGAATCGAACAAGAAAGTAAGAAGATGAAAGAAACACGTCGAGAAGTTATGGCAAAAGGATGCGAGAGGCATGCATCTTCTGGCACATACTTTCCTCGAGAAATGCAATGCACATGAGAGAGACAATCAGACGCGACCATCATTCGTCCTGGGCTTCGAGGACGACACACTCAGCAAGGACATCGGCTGCGTAAACTACTGCATCTTCCAAAGCTGGGCGTCTTTGACTCCCTTTGACTTTTTGCAGGCTTGTGGCTTGACGCTGCCCCTCCTTTTCGTGCCGGTCTTGGGTTGCTTGGTTTGGCCGGCTGAGTTTGTGATAGGGAGGCACTGCAACGTCTGCAAGACAACGACAAGTGCATCTCAAAAGCCGCAAACTGTCGCATGCACAAAAAGACTCGTGAACAAGCGCTTATCTAAACACCAGACTCAACACACACACACACACTCCTCACGCAATTGCCGAACAAGCGGTCACATAGCTTAGACATTCGTGCACTATGGTTTGGAGGCATATGGTCCGTGCAGTCATAAAATGGGACCTCCCCTCCACCCCCTCCCCAACCCCATTTTTCAGGTATAACCTGCTACAAAGACACGAGCCACATAAAGACCCTTGGAGCTGGCTGCTGCGGGCTTTCGTGACTGACTGCAGTGGATGTCGGCTCAGTCTCGCACGAACATGAAGAAGAAGAGAGCCTGACATCCCGTTCCAGGGCAATGTCAATCTGCGTGCATACGTGAGATGCGACAAGAAAGCCGCTGCCATTTTGGCCTCGTCTTGGGCAGAGATTTTGGCTCCCGGGTCACGTTTGTTGGGTACCTGAGGACATTGCTCAAGGCACAGGCATGGATTAAAGCGTGTCAGCGGTTCCTTTTGCTATCGACCCTCCCACCCACTCAGGTCGGAGGTAGCTCAGGAAGCTCACAGAAGCCCAGCACGGCCCCTGTCCTTTGCGAAGCAGCGTGCGCGCCAACTGATTCACAAGGATCGGTGCCCCCAATGCACCGAAAGCCGAACCGCAGACAACGTTTCCCTCCCCCCAACCCCAAATCACCCTGGACACATGCGAAGACCTGCCCACGGAATCCCCTTTTCCCCCTCCTGGCTCCACTTCATGTTGTGGGGCTAGGCGCCATGTCGATTCCATGATGCAAGCTTGGCTGCTTATGTATTCCAACCCATCAGGCCCCCCACAAGGGAATCCCCCCTCCCAACAAGACTGACGTCCAGTAAACCTTCCCGAAAGTACCGAAAGCCTCCCCAATTTCTCACATGTGTTATCTCTCTCTCTCTCTCTCAAACACATGCGGCGCACCCTGGCGAGAATGTATTGAGGCAGGAACTTCGGCCAGAAACTTAGCAAATCAAGCGCGAGACTCTTGCAGCAGGGCAGGTGCACTACGCATGGGATGTTGGTTTATTGCTGCTCATTGCTCCCAAGGCGCTTCACTGCCAAGAACATGGCAAAGAGCATGAAAGCAATGCCAATGATGGGCGCGATCTCAGGCCGTGTCGTGCTTTCATCATGCACTTGACAGTCTGACTTCCTTGCGGTCCAACTCAGTCACTGGCAACAGTCTTGAACATGTCGAACTCCCCACCCAAGCCTCTCATACGCAGGCGAGGCATTCACTCTCACATGACTCGCATGACCGCTCTGTAGTCCTTGGAATCTTGGATGCTACAGCTGCTAAGGTGGAAGCTGAACAAGACGTTGAACAGCACCAGGGAAAGGATGTCATCCTCACGATACCACTTTTGCATGTCACTTGCGTCTCTCATGGATCCGCACGCATCCGTACCCACCTTCTCCCTCGAAAAATTGGTGAAACTCTCTGAGCAAATTCTCAGCTTCTAACCACGAAGGCTGCTGTGATGATGGCCTGCGCACGAAGTGCAGGCTCTAAGTGCTCGGTTGATGACACCCAATCGAGCTCCCACGCCACCAACGCGATTCCCCACCAGAAGCGTGACCAGGCAGAACTGAAGCCAATGTGACCCGTGCGATCTGTGTACAAGGTCAGGTAATCAGGTGCCTGTCCGAAGTTCTCCTGGAGGACACCTGCCTCTCCGAGGAGGCGGAGCGCGATGCCCACGCCTCGAGGCGCCCGTGCGCTCAAAGAGTCCCAGACATCCCCTGTGTAGTTCCGATGTGTTCCGGTTCCCCAGGCGCACTTGTCGGAGCCAGCGCGGTCCCTGCAGAGATTCCGTCCGGCCTTACAGCACAAGACTTGAGCTGACAAGTCTGACAACATGAGTCTTTCCGTGTCTGCGAGGGCCTGCTTGGTGTGATTTAGGGCCTGCTGGCAAAACACGGACAAGGAGCCAAGGACGCCGAGGGCCGGGCATGAAGGGCCGTCCAAACAGCACGGTCAGCAAGCTCCCAACGATCTGAAAGAAAATGAAAGAAGGTCGCAGAAGGCACTGGCAGACACTTGCACTTCGACCAGGAGAAAGCCACAATCTAGTAATGCAAAGAGGCGCGGGTTGTTTCAACTTGGCTCCTGACCAGTGGAAGAATTGTGCCAAGCACAGCGACGCAGCAGGCAGGAATGCCAACGATCTGTCAGCGGGGTCAAGCTTGAGTAAACCTGATTTGAACCCAGCCTCACAGCCTTCATCGGCAATGCCTCTTCACGTCGCCTAGCCCTGCTAAAGACAGATAAAGACGGACACGACTCTGAGTACTGCCCCAAGTAGATCAGATAAGTTTGGTTTGTCACGTGACAGCTTTCGCTCGTGCTCGCGCCATCCGGAACGCATGCTCGAACGCACAGTTGCACGAGTAGTGGGTGTGCAGCCTTATCCAGTACTGTTCGGAATGCGCGCGAGCCGGAACAAACGAAAACTGCGCACGTCCAGCGCAAGGCGGCACCGAGGGCCATCTCCGGCCATCTCGTCCGCTGTGTTCTCTGGCCATCAACACGCACCGAGGCACAATAGAGTTTCAAAAGTCTCAAAGTTACAAAGCAGCGGACCTGAACCCGATGCCAGAGGAGGGGGGGATGGAAGGGGGAGACAGAGAGAGGCACAGAGAGAAGAGAAAGAGACAGCGAGAAACATATACATAGAGAAAGAGAAAGAGAAAGAGAAAGAGAAAGAGGAAGAGGAAGAGGAAGAGGAAGAGGAAGAGAAAGAGAAAGAGAACGAGAAAGAGAGAAAGAGAAAGAGAGAAAGAGAAAGAGAAAGAGAAAGAGAGAGAGAGAGAGAGAAAGAGAGAGAGAGAGCAGGCATGAGTCCGTGAGGAGAGGAGGGAGAGGGAGAGTGAGAGGGAGAGAGAGGGAAAACAGACAAACGAAAGACAAAGAAGGAGCATGAAGGAGCAGAACAGAATGCACGGGGATCGCAATGCAGAGCCAAAAGCAAAGCGAGGGCGAGATTGCCAGCAGTAGCTTTTTCGGTCTCAGCACTTCTGCAACGAGCCGAGACATGCATTTTTCGAATGCATTACTACCAAAATCTTCTTCAATCTGCAGCAGAAACACCAGCCTTTGCTTTCTCGAAGTCAAAGTGCATGCCGCTCTCAAAGATCATAAGGCCAACACCTGGCCGACAGGCAACAGCAGCAAGTCACTTGAGGCCTTCCGCTTGGCCAAGAAGGAAAGCAGCTTCAGACCTTCTGGGGACCTGAATGTATCTTACTGCTGTCATCATGTCCAGAGCTCCGTGTTGGTCTCTGCCAGCTCAGGTAGCCAAACCGCACAAGTACCCGTAAATCGTTTGCGATTGATTTGTAGGTGCCGCCTGCGTGACCAATCAAGGTAAAGAAGTCGGGAAAGCTGCCACAGCTTTCTGAGACTTCCTCTCACGGGCAAATCATCAAAATGTCTTGAAAGCAACAGAACGAAATACCAATACGCTTTCAAGATGTGCCAACAACGCAGAGCGGTCATGCTCACACTCTTTCACCAAGCACTCGGAGTAGCTGTGATAGCTGCCTCGGTAGAAGCTAATTCATGCTGCAACGATGCTACATGTGAACCATCGAAGTACAAGCCACTGCTGCACTCGAAAATTTGAAACTCGCTGCAGGTAAGGGAAGGCCAGGCGCCTGGCCACCAGAGAGCCGCCTTTCGCAATTGAAAGAAGCACTGCACCATACTGCAGCATACTGCAGTATGCAGCGCAGTGTAAATTAGGTGCAGAGAGAACCACTTCGACAAGCCGACAGCAAGCCGACACCCCGGCTACATGTTGCTTTCTGAATGCCGGCGCCTGTGACCAGAGTCATGTCCATCACCTGCAGTGGTCATTCGGATGCAAGCGCGGCAACAGGCGCTCTTGGTACCACTATAGGGCTGGAAACAACGAGCCGCAATCTAGAGATGGATAAGACAAGGCATGGGCTCGAGGAGAACATCCTGTGGGTTTTAATGGATCCCTGGACTACTCGAGCTGTGAAACAAACTGCGAGGCACTCGAGGCGCTCGAGGCCGCCGCTCCAGCAAACTTTCAAAAGAGGTTCCCTAGCTCTCTGGATGAAACATCCTGGCTATGCTATCTGAGAAGGCTCCGCACGTACAGAACTGTGCTCCAGGCTCGCGTGGCTCCCGCTGTCGGAGTGGCTGGTGTCGGAGTGGGTCCCACTGTCGGAGTGGGTTCCACTGTCGGAGTGGCTTCCGCTGTCGGAGTGGCTTCCGCTGTCGGAGTGGCCTTCCATCATTCCCTCATATTCCCTCTCGCTTAGCTCGTTAGATTGTCTGCTCCCTCTGCTCGCTCTCGATCTGGATGCTTCTTCTTCTGCTGCTGGGCATACAGGACGGATCAGGACGGCCCATGACGGGCCCGGGACCCCACGCCCCCTGCACGTGGCGCTCACCCGTGTTCAGTCCGTGCGATGTTGCGACACTTTGCGACATAAACACAAAGCGAGAGCATGCTCACATCAGCTGTTCGCTTCCCCCGAATGCCGCGCCCACCTGGGCCCTGCAAAAGCCTCGGCCCAGCCTCCGAAGCCTCCCCCAACTCCAGCCTTGATCATCCCGGTAATCCTAGATTCCCAACCTTCAGCGCTGTGCTCCCCCTGAACTATCACCCCAAATAAAACTGCCCAACTTGACCCAAACTGAATTGCCGCTCTGTCTCTTACGAACTGTCATGATGATGATGATGGTGATGATGATGATGATGATGATGATGTTGATTGACCTCCTCCTTTTTACGACTCCACTTGGCTTGTGGTTTGGGGGGTGACTGGCCCCGCGCGCTCCAGCACGCCCAAATACATCAGCATCCATGCTGCAAGTGCATTCGGAGCTCGGTGCTGAGATGCTAAAGGGACGGAATGCTCAGCCACCTGCCCCGGCCTCTCAACATTGGTATGGCATCAAGACAGCGTCTTTATTGCGATAAACGGAGTGACGCGGAAGCGAGGTCTGGAGCCGGCGAGACTATTTCAATTCGACTACACTTCGTCTGACTCCCCATTCCCACTTGCCCACTGCGCACAACACCTTAACCGATGTCGAGTTTGGGAAACCCATGGAAGCCCCCATGCACTTGTTGGACAAGTTTTTACTGAAATATATTCCCTCTCTCTGCATACATGGGCTGCATGAATCGGGCAGCCCTTTGCAAAGCTGAAAGCAGTCCACAGCCTCCTCCATGGCTTCCGTCATCCGTGTGCGCTTCAGTGCCCGCATGGCTGTCATCGTGTTCACCGCTGCTGTGTTCGCCGCTGCCGTGGTCGGCTCCATGCGTGTCCTTCCAGAACAGAGCTGTCAGACTCTTGCAAAGGCGCTTCTGCCTGACCCCCAGCTCTACCTCGCCCTGCCCATGCTTCACTGCTGCTTCTTCTACTCCTTGCCTCCATGGGCACCGCGCCGCCAATATAGTCGACTGTCATATTGAACAAACCGCTGCCCTGCACGCGAAGAGACATTCACATGTCTGAGAAGTCCCCAGGAGAGACAGCAATGGCCTGCTTCTCTTCAAGAAGGGGAACTAAACACGTAGCCCCCCCCGCCACTTTCCTTAACTTTCCTTCTCTCAGAGGCTCTCAGAGCTCTCAGGCCTGGTGGCCGTGGCCGCTTCCATGGTCTCCGTGAGCTGCGCAGGCACCAAGGCTCTCCGATGCTCTCCGATGCTCTCCCCCCTCCCCAATTGTTTTACCAATCGATTGTTACTCAGAATTCTGCTTCCTAATAGGGGAGCTCGGCAGGGAGCTGATGCACCAAAAGGTGTGAGAAAAAAGTGCCATACTAAATCACATCAAGAAATCCAAGGTAGCCAAAGCATTGTGGTCGTCTTAAGGGGCCTCAGGTCGTAGGAACTTGAGACGATGGGCCCCTCAACTTTCTTAACGTCGTCTTCGGCGGGGGTTCACGAACATGTCTGAAACATGAGGACCTTAAGAAATCCAGGGTACCGACCTGGAAGTATCGCTTTCTTATCCGGGTCACTGCACACAGACCCTCACTGTCGCTCTGAAGCTTGTGCTAAAGCGCATCTTTCACTATCACGCTCACACAAGGTAAATGTCCCCACTGCAGAGCAATGCAACAACGCTTGGCAAGCAACACGTCTCTCACCCGAACTTCCGAGAAGCTCTGCAACATGCACCGAGTCCCCACATCATGTGAATATGATTGAATATGCCGAGTGCTGGGCAATAGTCTGCAGGGTTGCAGACCCCCAGGCCAGCGATTCTTCCCAAGGTCTTGGTGCACATGAAAAAAGGTCATGAAATCCTACGACATGACTGGCTCAAAGATGCCGGAGCTCCCAAAAAAGTCTCGTATGTCCCGTCCCCACGCGCGCGCACGTCAAGTGCCCCTTTCTCGCTCAGGGCTCCCGGCCGGCCCCAAAGACAGCCCCTTCCTTGGAGAGCGACCAAAAATAGCTTCTCAGAAATGCTGATGAAAAATTGCTGAATGTTGAGCGATAGCGATGTGTTCCATGTTTCGTGCGAGTCGAGCTGCGCGATGCGATCGTCCAGATCTGCAGGCGCCGTGCAGTCGTCAACCCGCTTGGTCTCGCAGACCTCGGGGGTTTCAGGCTGTTTCTTCTGGAGGCTACGAGACTTGAGACACGGCGAAAACTGTTCTCAAGCTTCGTACCGCTCTTGTTGTGCGCACGGAGTACTTCAAAGATCCAGGCTGTTTCTGATTTCAAGGTCGTATCATCTGTGAAGAGATAGCCTTGAGGCTGGCACCGTGTAGACAGGATCGACCAAGCCAAATCCCCTGCAAATGTTTGCTCACGCCGTTCTTCTCACAAACCGGCTTACACGTTGTCTGCCATTGTCCGCCTTGGGCCAAGTGCGACTCCCACTGTAATCTCCAGAACGATAGACGAAATCCTTGGACACAAGAAGCGTGTCTGAACCATTATGAAACAATGTATCCACAGCAAATCAGTCCCACCTACATCCACCTACTGGCCACAGTGCTGTCGGTTGACATTCAGGCCAGCTCTTGCCAGCACATTCAGACTCAGGCCGGTGCCCTAATAGGCGGGAGACTTTGCTGGCTGTCCATGCCGCCCTGTCAGCGCAGGCGACACGAGTGCGTTCAGCAAGTGCAGCGACACACGTCGACCTGAACAATTTGACCTAGTCGCTTAGTCACGTACAGTAACCATATCGGAGGCAACCCAGATGAGCTGCAAGGCCCCTAATGAGGTAAGCACTGCAATAAGGTGCTCTGCTTGATACCCGAAAAGAGAAACAACGCCAACAAGGACGATCCCTCTGAGCGCGCCCGAGGAAGCCCGCGATGCTCAACATCGCAATGTAGCTGCTAGCGCCTGCTCCGCAAGACTCCCAAAGCATCAAAGGCAGCATGAACCGCTTCAGCTGGACAACATGTGATATGAAGCGGTTGCTTCCCATCTCGCTGCATGAAGTGGGGGCCCCATTCGTCCCTGCAATTCAAACTCAAGATGTGCCATTCTCCGTCGTCCGCCTCCCATGGTGGCAAGAGGAAAATGACCTGGCAGGCAAGATGAATGCAAGGGGGTGCGGTTACACTTTCCTCCTAATTATCCTAATTGGGTTCTCGAGAGCCCTTACCCGGAAAGCGACTTCAGCCTTGGGAGCCTGAACGGAAAGGCAACCTCCTCAGGGACCTGACGACCAACCCACCGCCCAAAACATACAAAGACAGCATTGTTTGTGGTTTTTCGTGAGTCCCACAAAGCCCTACCCCCCAAGTTGGACTTCCGCGCAACTCCCTTGCAAAAGTCCGGCCATGGGCCATGCGACACCACACAACATGTCTGCTTCTTATGCTAGGTGCTGGTCTGCTAGGTCTGAAGACACACGGGGGCACACACGCCCCATGTTCCGGCCCCGAAGGAGCCATGAAGCCACGAAGGGAGTTCCACAGAAAGCCCTCCACAGTTCCGCCCCCCAACCTGCCCATCCTCTCCATCCAACCCAGGGCTATGAGCGAACCGTTGTCTGGGGCCCTGTCCAGGCCCTGCAACCGCTCCAGTTAGCCGCGCTTACTCGGAGCTTCTGCACACTTGAGAGAGCGGATTGAGCTCAAAGCTCCCTCATCATCCTTTGGTTGGGTCTACGCCCTCACTGTGCCAGACAGCTACCAGAAACATGGATTTTCACACTTAGGACGATCCTTGGTGATGCACTTTACTGACCGCTCTGCGGAGGTCCAAACCCAAGATGTACCTTAGCAAGGCCGCATGGCAATGCCCCCGAGCTGTGCATCCACGGGCACAAAGTCCCTGAGCTGAGGGGCGTCCTTGTCTCTCATGCCATGCAACTGCACTGCTCCAGCAAACGAGCCCGCTGAAAAACCTCTCATGCGTTTCGTGGAGCTGGCAATAACCCCCGGCAAGTCCAGATCTGGCATCCGCAACAGCTATGTCGGCCCCCCCCATTCCGGCGGCAACCGAAGTGTGGTGCAGCTGTTGCACAATCAGAAACCTTCTACAGGAAGTCCAAAACAGGGAAGCACAGGGACTGTCGCCCAAACCTGCTCAATCAGCTCTGGCTGGGCCTCGACTTTGGAGGGAGACGATAACAAGTCAAGTCCTGAGGTCTGCACATCAAGGACAGTCCGAGCTTTGTCTGATTCATTGGTCAATCAAACACTCGAAGCCCCTTCCTTTGCTCGACTGTAACCACGATAGCCGACTTTAGAACTACGAAAACCGTTGAAAACAAACACTAGCTTGTGTGTCAGCCGCGCTCTGAAGGGACGAAGAATAAGAATGTCAGAAAAAGTCGCACTCCACAAGACATGTCTCTCTCAACACAATTCCCACAACTCAAAACCCATAACTGGCCCATAACCAAAGCCACGACATGCAACATGGGCAAGGGTCCTGAAAGCAAGGAGTCCGGGGGCAACCTTACTTCGAGCCGGACGGCAGCATATTGCAGGCATCGAGATCCCGCATATCCGCGCTGGTCAGTGGCAGAAGCTTCTCGGCAACGCCGTCTAATTACACGCAAGTGCAATGCCCTCTTGCACTCTCAATGTCCACAAGTACCTTGCCAGGCACGAGTCAGCTTGACAAGGACTAGATTAAGTTGCATGTTCACCGTGTGTAGCCCTCGTTTTTCTTTGCACGCTCGCAGCCATGCGCAGGAAAGAATGGGAAGCGGGAGGCTCAGAGGACAATTCTCTGAGGTCAAGATGCCTTTAGATGGCTCTGGTCCCTGGGTACATGTGAGCGAATATGTTATGTCCAGAATCCTCCCTCCCCAAAGTCCTCTGATATAAGGCTGGCTTGCACTAGCTGTCACGAGCATGGTCAGGTGATCGAACTCGGTGAAAATGTTTGCTTGTCGACTTCCAGGATCTTCCAGGATTCCATCCCAGAACTTCACTGGAGAGAGACCTGGCCAAAGAAGCATTGCTCAGCGTTGCTCTGCTCAATCTGTTGCCGCCCTCCCTCAGAAGCACCCTCTCAAAACACTCAAATCAACGGTTTTAAGGTCAGGTGGTGCACAACTGAGAAGGCAGCACAACCACGACAAGACCAAACAAACACGCACAAACGAACACACGCACACGCGCACACGCGCACACGCGCGCACGCGCACACGCGCGCACGCTTAGGGTTTAGGGTTTAGGGTTTAGGGTTTAGGGTTTAGGGTTTAGGGCTTAGGGTTTAGGGTTTAAAGGGTTTAGGGTTTAGGGTTTAGGGTTTAGGATTTAGGATTTGCACGCGCGGACACCCAGCCACCCAGCCACTAAGCCACCCACCCACCCACCCACCCACCCACCCACCCACACACTCACTCACTCACTCACACACACACACACAAAATACCACGCCAAGAAGCCAGTGGTGCTGGGAGCTAGAAGCCCCAGACCCCAGAAGGAGGTACTCGGAGTTGGCTACGGTGGTGGGAGTTAGGCTCCCTGGCGCAGGGGAATCGCGGCTTCGCGCGTTGTCCGCGCGCAGAAGTGCCAAGACAATGATTCCCCACAACACCCACACACTTGAGCCGCCATTTCGGGTATTCGGGCACTTGCAAACACAAAAACAATGCTCGGCCTGTGCTCCCGTTGTGACACCCAGCACCCCCCGATCAGCCAACGACAAAAACCCTCCGACACAACGCGCAGGAATTCATACGCTTTCGCATTTGCAGCCCATGCGCTAAGCAAAGGAGTCAAAATGCTGCAGTGCAAAATCCCTGCATCGGATGCTTGGCAAACTAAAGGAATGGGGTGGCAGCTAAGCATCAAGCCAGGTCGTTGATTGACCTGACTTCTGGCGCGCATCGAGGAACGAAAGCTCAATGTGAATGAATGAAAGCTCTGCGATGCGCGTGACATGAGAGCTTGGAGCACTGATTATGTCTGGCAACGAATCAGGAGAGATCTCCCTAAACCCCCCTCGCCCCTCCCATAAGACACCCCACTCACCAGCTGTTTCTCACACTCCCTCATGTTCACAGAGCTGCGCACCGCGGTAGCATCCCGCCCCAAAAAAAAAAAGAAACAGCTGAAAACGAGGATTCTTGGCCCGGCGCATCCCATGCCGCAGACCGCTACTGTGACGCTGCCGCAATCCTTCCAGAATCACTTCGTTCGTGGCATCGACCGCAGTATATGGGATGAAGGGATCGCTTCTAGCTGCATGATAAAAGTATGCAAGATGCTTTTCCACGATGCCAATAAGGAGTGTCTTTTTGGTCACACAACATGTCTGCACTACTCCTGCAGTCTGCGAGGACTACGGCTAGTTGACACCATATAAACTGGCATGGCTTGAGTTCAGTGTGAGTACTTCAGGTGGACTGCAGAGGGCGTGCACACAGGTGGCGTCATTCGAATACACCTAACCCACTCTGTAAATGAATTCAATCGGGAGGCCGGCTGCAGTTCTGCAGTGGCTACAAAAAGTTCCGCATGTACATCGTCCAGCTTTCTGGCTTAGGTATGGGCGCCCCTTCTCCCAGAACCCGTGATTAAACGACGCTCCATGTACTTCGCCAGACATCCAGACTTCTCAAGGGAGATGGCATATCTGCAAACATCTGCAGTACAGAAGTGAGGACCCATATCCTGGGCATCTCTGCATCTCGGAGTCTGCAGCGTAGTTGTGCTTCTCATTTGAAAAATGCACGCTGCTGAGACTGAGACACGCTCTAATTCACTTGAGAGGCGCGGAGAATCTGGTTCACGTCGTGTCAGGTGCTTCAAAAGAGGGGGTACAAAAGAGGGAAAGAGTTGTGTGCTCGCAAAGACAAAGACAATCAGTGAAACAGCTTCAGGCGCCGGTGTAAAAAGGCCAAAAAATTGACAGAGCATCACAAAAAACACAAAGCCTCTGCCTCAAAGCCCCCGCTCGGGATGCAAGCGGAAGTCCGGGCAGAGCTTGTGGGCAGGCAATGCAAAAGAGACAGAGAGAGAGAGAGAACAGAGAAAGAGAGAAAGAGAGAGACAGAGAGAAGAGAGAAGAGAGAAGACAGAAGAGAGAAGAGAGAAGAGAGAAAGAGAGAGAAAGAGGAGAGAGAGAGGAGAGAGAGAGAGAGAGAGAGCGAGCGAGCAAGAGAGAAAGAGGGAATTGCACGATACTGCAAGGCACGCATAGGCCATCATAGGCACATAATACGTCATTCACCCGAACAGCGTGTACTGCCGAACTGTCAACCTCGGTCGCCACAAACAAGGTTTTGGTGACTTCGGTGCGGACGAGCTGCACTCGCTTAGTGTAAGACTTACAGCATACCGCGTTGACTTTACTGCAGTGTGGCTTGGTCTTCCGCCGACCCTGGCGTCGCGTTGGATGGGTTTCGGAGGTGAGAACCTCCCTTCGTCCCTCCTCACACGCCAATGCGCCGTATCGAGAGGGTGGGGACCGGGGGGGCGGGCAAAGGACATGGCACCTGGATAAGCATGCTCAGGGCGGACGCAACAAAATTCGGGGAGTGGGGCGCTTAGAGCCTTTTGCGGTCCCCTGGCATACTTGGGCAGCCCCTGCATCCGGAGACTTTCTTGGAGACTTTCTTCATTAGTCCTTTCTGCACCTCCTAGGAACCCCCTGAGCAACCCCCTGGCAGCTTTGGACCCTACTAGTAGAAAGCGATCTTTTGCAAAATGTTGGTTGGCTTGGGAAAGGGGACCCCCCGACATTTTGGTTCCTTTGGATCTTCTGAGACAGGTGGGGGCGATCCACCCTAGACTTTTCTGCCGGACCTCTTTTACTCCCCACGGACCTCTAAACGCTTCGGGTTTTGGGCTTCTGGGTCTTTTGTGGGAAGCACTTTGAAACCCTGGCAACTCTTTGGACCTCCCTGGCGTTCTTTGCAGCCCGCGACCCCCTGTCGGGGTCGGCGGCTGAGGCTCTTAAATTGCCGAAGTCGAATGCACAAATCTAGCCGTGTTTAAGACCTTCTGGGGTGCCACTGCAGGATCGGATTGAGGATGTTGCTGAAGGGCTTTGCTTTGTCCCGCTTGGCTGGGGCTGAAGGGCTCAGAAAAACAACG